GAGACAGGGCAACAAAGAAAGAAAGGTCAGCATTTTTTAAATTCCATAGAGCCTAATTCGTCTTCCATTAATTCTTCGTCGATTAGTTCTTCCTTCGACAGGGATCCTTTTTCAAGTTGATTATGTCACATAAACGACTTGTTTCAAGGGGATACAGTGGTGGAAAAAAGTATTGAGCCCCTACTTTTTGCTTAAAAAAAATTTCTATCGAAAGTTTTTTGAATCCGTTCTAAATTTCTAGGAACCAGAAGAACTAAGCTTCGTAATGTTATAAAAACTTTTGAATTGCAAAGTTTATTTAACGAGAAAATACATGTATACAATATTTGCAAAAATTCTTGTATTGAAAAAGTATTGAGTCCTTGTCGAAAAAAGAATTCACTATTATGATGGGCCATCTCGGTCTTTAATGATAGCTCAATACTTTTTTCCACCACTGTATAACCGACACTCCGATCGATACATAGAGGGCGGTGTGGGGCGGGTCTGTGTGCCTGACCTTGGCTTTCTCTACTCCTCCCAATCTCATGCACTATTTCCCCTCGCCCGGTGGTCAGCCCAAAGCCTGACCACCCGACCTCATCTGCCCCACGCACACCGCCCTCCATATTGATCTTGCAAGAAAATTTTCAAAGATATTTGCCACTATTTATTTCTGTCACTTGCTGATCCAATTGTTGTCCTTATTTCATTTTTAAATAAAAGCTGCTACCTTTTTTTTGGAAACTAGCTTCACTTAAAAAACCTCATTTTTAAAATTTTCAAGTCATTCATTTGCATAAATTTTACCGCAGGGTGTTCAATATTTATGGGGGCGAATAGATCATTAGATTTAAGGCTCGTTTTGTACAAATCTAATGCTAAAAAGAAACAAACATATCATCTTTAGCAAGTTTAAGTCACTTTTTTTCAAAATTATTGCCTTTCGTGTTGATGTTTGTCTAGAAATTTTTGTGAAAAGCGCTCAGTGTGGCACGGAGATCGAATAAATTGAGTTTGTCACAAACTTATGTTAAGTTTTCTTGGAAAAATCAAACTGTGTTATGATTACCACATTTTTAATGTTCCATAAATTTGAAAACTAGTAAATAGTGAAGAATTTCTTATCATTAAACAAGAATAACTAGGTCTGACCCCTTCAGGTCTAATTTAGTGAACAAGTTTCAATGAATCGGTTTTTCGCATAACAAATTGAGTAAACAGTAAAAGTAAGTAAGCATGTCATGTTTGTCCCAACTTTGTCATTCAATGTTTTCTTAATGATTTTTTAAGAACCGATTTTTGAAGCGCTAAACAACCCTCAAACTCAAAAGCCTCCATATATATTGAACACCCTGTATTATATTCAAGATTTGTTTTTCTGATCTCTTACTAGCGTTTTTCTGATCTCTTACTTAATTATCTTTCCAAATTTCAGAATGAATCCAATAACGCTCGAGATTTGCAAGCATTTGGACACAGTGGCGGCAAAATACGATTTGGACGGAGACTCGATGTTGGATGTATTGGGAAAAGTGGTCGATCATTACAAAAATCCAGTCACATACAACTACTTGAATATGAATGCTGATTATAGGTTGGTTAGAAATGTGGATTTTGAAATAGCAGCGACTCGGAAAAGTTGTAAGGACAAGCTTTCAATATTATAAAATATTGAAAGCTTCAATTTTCAAATATTCCAATCTTGCCGATATAAACAAGCAGTTTATATTCAAGTTTAGTAAGTGTAGCAATTTCAGGGCACTTTTCCGAGTCTAAAAGTAATACCAGACTTAAGCTATTGAATAAACTTTTGCGAAAACTTCAAAATCTCTCAATTACAGCCGCCAAATCCACGCCCAATCTACAAAAGTCACGCCAATTCCACTCATTGATTTGGATGATGAGAGAGCGACCTCAAGCACTTCTCCAGTGGCTTCCATTTTTGATGAGAATAAGAAGAAGGCATGTCCATGTGTTCCATTTGATCCAACGATGCCCTGTTTCAACAAACAACTCGAATCCGATGAGTATTATGCGCTGGCTGAATTGGAAGAGCTCAGGTATTGGTTTTAACAACAAATAGACGAATTTTTCAAGAGAAGTCCACTTACTGTTTACTTTAAATTACAAAAAAGGTACAAAATGAACTCATTGTTGTCAAATAAATCTTTAAAGTTTTCAGCCTTGGCGACCGCGTGCTCTGTTTCATGAACATCAAATCGGGAAGGATCGTTGAAGGGATCATCACGAGTTTCACGAAAGATATGCGACCACATGTGAAAAGATTGATGGCCAATGGTAGATATACGGATGAGAAGCGACCCGTTGGATGTCAATATAACAGGCACAAAGTCATCTACAAAGCAACAAAGAGGGTTGGTCTTGTTTTTGTGTAGCCGTTAACTTTTTAAGCAATAATCTATATAATCTAAGCAATAATCGTACCGTGTACAGGGTGCGGCAAAATTATGGAACGGATGCTTATTGATGAATTAAAAGAAAAAAATGTAGAGCATACTCCTAGTGTTATATATAATTTGAAAGCTCTTAATAAATACTACAAAATAGAATAGCTAATCAACAATTTGTGCCAATCGTGGAAAAATTTAAGGACCTGAACGTGACACTGAACCGAGGTAATTTTTAAAAATAGCGATTTCCAACATTTTTAACTGTTCTTTGTTCTGAAAGTATTAGCTTTAAAGGTTTTAACAAAATTATTAACAAGAAAGTTTCGGGTTTAATCTGTTAAAAATAGTTTTTGAACATTTGAATGTTTCTCTTAAAACACTAGTTTTCGATTTTTACGTTTTTTTTCAGTTCCTATCAGAACTTTTTCTTAAGTTTATGTACTAATTGATGAGATTTTTATTCCTGTATTTCTGCAGATATAATCAGTATAATAACTGGTCTAGTTGACGTTAAAACAGAAGATCATCTTTTTCAGGAGTGTCATGTTCAGGTCTTTAAATTTTTTCAAGGTTGGCACAAATTGTTGATTTAGCTATTCGATTTTTTAGTATTTATTAAGAGCTTTCAAATGATATATAACACTAGGAGTACGCTCTTCATTTTCTTCTTTTAATTCATCAATAAGCATCCGTTCCATAATTTTGCCGCACCCTGTAAATTCAATGTTCATGTTTCAAGAGTTGATTTAGATTGGCGAGAATCTCGATGAAGGTGGCTATTCGAAATGGGAAAATTACGAGGAAACGGTATTGTTTTTATGTAAAAGTCTATGGTATTCGTATTTCAGTAAGCTTTTAGTGCAAAATATCAAATGACCCCAGTAGAAATTATTTGCCAAATTACCAGATTTCAGGATGATGATCTGATGGTGATCCCGAAGCAAGATCATGGTGAATACGACTTTGAACTTCAGGGAGGAAAGGTTTGAAATTGGAATTTAAAATATCAGAACAAAATGGATACAAGTTTTGATATCAATAAGTGTTTGCAAGTGAGCAGCAAAAAAGAACAAAGAAGATCTTTAATAATAGGTCAGATTTCAGGTATCGATGGCTGACAGCCCAAATTCGACAGGTGATGGAAAGGCGAAGAGACAACAAAGAACGTACAGTGTGGATTTTAAGTTGGAAGTGGTCGATTACGTGAAGGAAAATCCAATCAAAAACGAGGCAGCACGGAAATTCGGTGTCGCGTCGAAACGAATTCGCGAGTGGATTGCACAAGAAGCCGATCTTCGATCAGCTCAACTCAAAAGGGCACGCCAAATTGAAGAGCTTGAGGTAAGGAAAGCACCTGACAATGAATGAAAGAGGCAAAAAGATTTGAAAACGTTCCTTTATTCATTCTATTGAAAGAAAAAAGGATTCTTGATGGGATTTTTGCATGCGTAACCGCGCTTTAAAAATTCATACATTGTTGGAGCATATTATTAACTTTATATAGTTTTGAAAGTGATTTTTAGGCTTTCTAGTGGAACTTGATTGGAGCACATAATCCTAGGGGAATTGAGAGACAATATTGAGCGACAGATCGGACTGTTCCCTCAGTTTGGCTGCTGTAACACAATGGTTTTGAATCTGAAGAAAAATAGTGGATTTGTAGAAGAATCCAGCCAAATTTAAGGCAAAAATTGATCCCGAGAGTTTGGGCATAGTGACGCCCCAAAAAAAAGCCCCAGCACTGGCTCAATCGCTCACCGTTCCTCCCCCTTTACGGACTCCAAAAGGGAAGCACTTTATACCAGACGTGTTTGCCAGACGGCTAGTGATTATGCAGCCGCACAAAGAACACCTTGCAAGTCATTTACATAGGGGTTCTACTTTTGCATTGTAAATGGCCTATTTTGGATAAAGGATACACCTTTTATCTCATTTATCATTTACATATTGTTAAAAATTCCCTACCGATCTTCCATTTGGTGCGAAGTTTTCCGGACATGAGCCATAATGCCATACCAGACACTTGTCATATCGGTGCTTCCCTGAAAAGCCCACAATCTTTTATAAAGTTGTTATTTTTCTAATCGTTCCGACTATTCTCTTCAGAATCCTGTCCCTGATCGACGGTTTTATTGTCTCTTGGTATATAGGATTTTGTGATCCAATCAAATTCTATTTTAATACTTTTAAGTTATTGGTTATGGATAGATTTTTAGACTCACAGTTTAACAACTTACTATTTCTTTATATTGAACTTCAGAGAGGAAACGTCGAAATCGTTGAAGGTCCACCCATCAAGCTTCCAGTCTTCTTAAACTCGGATGATGGATTCGATGATTTGAAATTGGAAACACTCGACTAATTTGCTCAATTTAACTGAATAAACTGTTTTTGTAACTCTTCAAATGTTTTACATTTCAAAATTTGAAATCTCAAACCTTTCTCTCTCTCTTTTTCTTAAGCTTTATCCGATATCGAAAATTTCTCGCTGGATTCGGACGTCAGAAGAAGACAAAACAAATGACAGCCCACGCTAAAAAAGCAAAACTTTTTGCAAGATATAAAATTGAGAATCCGGATTTTTGTGACTTTTCACAAATCTCGGAAATGTTCTCGTTTTTGCTCTTTTTCGGACTCTTCGCCTTTACCCAGCAATTCAGCAATCAGGAGGCTACCGGTCAGGTTTTTTCTTGAAGCCAAATGATCATTTTGATATGATAAAGAGTAGATAATCAGAAAGTCTTGATCTCTTGATTCTTTATGACTTACGAACTAGTAAGGCTATAATTTAAAAGATATTTGCTCCTATTTGATCGTTTACTTTGCTGTAATTCCAAGGGGCTTTTGCAATTTGCGTTTTGTAAAAGGCCAGCCGAAGAACCCGCCTAACGATGGGTTTTTCTGGCTGGATTTTCTGACCCGGTTTCTGTGGTCGTGGCTCAATCGGGAGCACGCTTGTCTACAGCCCACACGGTCCGGGTTCGACTCCCGAGTGTTCCTTCCAAATTTGATTTTTTAAAAACATTTTTGAAATGGCACAACTACAATAGATTCTAAGGTTTTCTAAAGAGATTCTAGCTTTATTAGGTAAAACACGGCCTAGAAAATGCCCGTACAGAAAGACACTGCTCTTTTATATATAGTAAATAGTTAATTCGTACTCTTTCCTTCAGATTTTGTCCGATTTACAGAATTTTGACACATTTTGACACAATTTTAACACATTTTTCACACCTTTAAACCAGTTTGAACGCTGATTCTAATTCCAGAAAGTATTGTAGATTTAAGGAAAAAAAACCTATGATCTGACTTCAAACAAACAATTTCAGTTACTGGAAACATTTTGTGCAAGAACCAACCGATCAGGGAGAACACGACGGTCACAATCTGGGACGATGATTTCAGTAAAGATTTGTTAATGTTTAAAATTGCCTAATAAAGCTCATTGTCAGTACTCAATCTGATAAGTAATCTTTCTAACAACTTCAGAGTTTACTCTAGCATCTTTTACATATCCGAAATCTAGCCAAAGTTCAGCTTTCTTGCTGAATCGTTAAATTAAGTTGGAGACGACGAGTTGAACTCAACGATGACAGACAACAATGGCTTCTTCTACCTCTACGGCCAAGAGTTCGTCTACTTCTCCTTCCAGCCATTCATCTCCCTTCGCCATGGCTGTGGACCAGTGTCACTGGTTGGTTTTGAATACAAAATCGTTATCTAAATGTTAAGTAGATCACGAAAATATTATATGTGTTAGCTCAAGGCAGCAGTTGGTAGACTTGGCAGGCTTTGATTCAAATAGATTTTGAAATGAAATGTTGGATAAAGATTTAAATCTGAGCAAAGATCTGGACCTAGATCTGAATGTAGATCTGGAGCTAGATCTGGACCTAGATCTGGACCTAGATCTGGACCTAGATCTGGAGCTAGATCTGGAGCTAGATCTGGACCTAGATCTGGATCTAGATCTGGAGCTAGATCTGGAGCTAGATCTGGACCTAGATCTGGACCTAGATCTGGAGCTAGATCTGGATCTAGATCTGGACCTAGATCTGGACCCAGATCTGGACCTAGATCTGCATGTAGATCTGGAGCTAGATCTGGAGCTAGATCTTGACCTAGATCTGGACCTAGATCTGGACCTGAAACCGAAGCTAATTGCATTTTTACTAGGTTTGTTGTGTTTGATTTGGATTTTCGTCCCATTTGGATTGAAACAATCTAAAGCGCTACAATATCTTATTTACAATGTTTACAATATCTACAATATCTACAATATCTTGAAATTTTCCCTGCTTTCTTGAGTGTTTCTTAGTTTTCATGAATCTATAAAAGGTTCTGCGAAAGAAGAGAGTAGAATGAACGTTAACACTTACAGTACTGGACAATGAAATATCATATTTGAAAAACGATCGTCACTTTCGCGCGTCTGTCACTCCCTTGTCTTTGAGTTTAAACTATTAGTGTTATACATTTTCTGAAAGCTCTTTTCAATGGCTACACAATGGTAATATTAATATTTAGAAATACGGTAAAGACAAGGGAGTTACAGACGCGCGAAAGTGACGATCTTTTTTCAAATATCATATTTCATTGTCCAGTAGTGTATATCTATAAGATCTATAAGTTGAACACTTATAGATCATTTAGTTATGTATAATTTTAAGATTTTTGCGTATTTCGGAGTGGGAAGGCGCTTAAAATGATCAATTTTACTTTTTTTGTTCTGCAGTTGGTCTATATGCCGTAAAAAAAACACGAAAACTGACAAAAGTTTGGTTAAAAACTTGAATCAGAAGGATTCTAATGAAAATTTACGAAATTCAATCAAAACTCAATCAATCGGACGAAAATCCAACTCGAACACAACATATACCTTACGTCCGATTAAGAATGTATTCAAAACGGACGTCCGATTTGAAATATTGGGTTGGGGAGAATGAGTCGGCGCCGAAAATCAAAAAAATGTCTAAAACTTCTAGCAGACTTCGTCAAATAATATGCGTTTGATATGAGTAGAATGGTTAACTAATTCTCTACAAAATGACATTTAAAAGAAAATTCAAACAGCGCCTCCGCTCAAGAAAAAGCCATTTTTTCACAAAAACTACAAACTGTGATCTAGAAAAAACCATTGGTGGGATCTTCCTGCAAATTTGGCAACTTAAGTAATTGAATGTGCTCTATCTTTTTTATATAAACACCAAAGAAGGTTTATGTGAAAGAAACTGTTCAAATGATGAGTCGGACTCTTTGCCATTTTAACCAGCTGCGTTTGGAAGCTCATAAACTCCACGAAAGAAAAGCTTTGTGGAATCTCTCAAAAGTGATTTTGTAGAGAAATAGTGGATCCTTTTGATGAAACCAAACGTATGTTTAAAGAAGGCTTTATGTGTGCAAAAAGTCCCTTTAAAGTTTGGCGCCGACTCATTCTCCCCAACCCAATATATTCTTAAGTTGACGTTTGATTGAAAATTTATCGAATCTATTGTTTAAAAATGTGAAATGATGCAAATCTAATTTTTTTTTCAAGCATTTACTGTTTTCTTTATTAGTGTTATAGAGAAGGGAGTGGGACAAATGCGACCTTTTTTTGCGCACCCGGACATTTGCGCACCTTTTTTTCCGCACCTTGCCCATTAGCGCACCTTTTTTCGCGTTTTAAAGCTAATACTAAGCTCTAAAAAGCTAATATTAACCAATTTCTATTCCAAAAATTTTTTTTCTAGGTAGTTTTAGGGCGTAGAATCGAAATTTTGACATATCAGAGCTTGTGGAAACAAACGGACGGAGTTATACAAAGAGAAAAATCGACAATTTTCTGTAACTTGACCTAGCTTTGTCGTTTTGCCGTTTTGTCTTTCAAATTGGTTCCACACGCTTTGTTATGTCAAAATTTCAGTACTTTTCCAATATCGGGGGGAGCGGTCCGATTATCGGGGGAGCGAAGGGAAAATCAGGGGAGCAAACTTTGGCAGCGCTACATATGTCCTATATTATACAAACTACCGCCATAAAATCCGCGAATTACCCGTTATTCTCACAACCTTTATATTAGATCACAAAAGTGACTTCAATATCTAACACCCAGCGAAATGGATCTTTTCCCTTTGAGCGGACTTTCATCGATTCGCCACAGTTGCAAATCCACGACTGGATGACTCCTTTGGTGACGAAATAATCGATTGCCGTCGATTCCTTGAACGCACAAATGTCGGAGAACCGCAACGTCGTTAAAGTTTTAAAAAAACGTTGCAGTCAAAATACAGTCCCGGAAATGCATTTTTCGAGAGGGCAAAATTTGCTCCCCCGATTTTCCTTTCGCTCCCCGATAATCCTTCCGCTCCCCCGATATTGGAAAAGTACCAAAATTTCGATTCTACGCCCTAAAATTACCTAGAAAAACAACTTTTGGAATCGAAATTGGTTAATATTAGCTTTTTAGAGCTTTTAGCGTTTTAAAACGCGAAAAAAGGTGCACTAATGGGCAAGGTGCGGAAAAAAAGGTGCGCAAATGTCCGGGTGCGCAAAAAAAGGTAGAATTTGTCCCACTCCCATAGAGAATCATAGAGGTGAACGGCTCACGCAATAGTAGTGTTTTTTTTCTTTGAAAAGTTCTAAAGATACCCCAAAAAGATCTTAAAATTAAGAAAACAGTAAAAACTTATGCAAGCAGTAAAGAAAAAAATGTAAAAAGGCCTCAATATTAGCGTTTGCGCCTTCTAGCTTTCTTGTGACTGCGAATGTCGAGGTTTTCCGTGAATCAATTTGCTATTAGGCAAATGATTCCTTGTGTTAACTAACAAAACTAACATTTATTAGATATTCAAACAGATTTGCATTTCACATCTTTACACAATTGATTATGATTGGGTTGTCCAGTTATGAATGCGCGTTTTTTTACTATTTTGTAAATTTCTCGAGATACCGAAATCAAGAAAAAGATATATATGAGTATTATTCGAAAGCTGAAGATCTCCTCTACATTTTGATATAAAAAGTTTTTGAATTTCTTCAGCTTTTGGGCAAATTGACGGCACAGAAGAAGAGGTGGCCAAAAAATGGAAGGGTGCCTTTGGATCAAGTTTTGGCTCCGCTCAAACTGAGTTAACCGTTTGATGTTTGGCCAATAGATATATCAATACAACTTTTTTTTAAATATAACAACTTCAGAGCATCTTTACTTTTCTTTTTATTTCTGAGCGGTTATTTTACACCATAAAACTTGAGGAATAGCTAAGCTGAAATGGGTTTTTTCGAAAACGACCTCTCCCTTTGTGCAGTCAATTTCCCAAAAAGTTGAATGAATTGAAAAGCTTTTTTATTTCAAAATGTAGAGGAGATCTTCAGCTTTCGAATGATATATAACACTTATATACATCTGTTCGATATCTTGAGAAATTTACAAAATAGTAAAAAACGCGCATTCATAACTGGACAACCCAATAGATTTGATTTGATAAATTGGGTTTTTTTCCACAATGGATTCGGACATCCGATCAAGAATACATTTCAAATCGGACGTTTGATTTTAATACATTCTTAATCGGACATAGCATACATTTACGTACCAAGCTTGTAACTGTACCAGCTTATTGTAAACATCTTTTTCCAAACAGCTTTCATTATTTAAACAGCTTTCCAAACTTCCAAACAACTTTCCTTGAAATGACTATCCAATGTGTTTTAGTGCCAGTGCGGGAAGAGATGCGAGTACGAGACGCGCATCTGGATCCCCTCGACAGCTCCTGGAGAGACGCACCACATGGGAAAGATTCGATTGGATAGACTTCCAGCCGTTAATGCCACTGTTATCACCACCGCATCTTGTCTAGCGTGAAAAACAACGGAAAACGAATGAACAATTGCTTTTTCTGTGAATAAATGTTATAACTGCTTTCTGATGGTATCTATTGGGTTGTCCAGTTATAAATGCGCGTTTTTGAGGGCTTATGCCAAATATTTCTGCAAGTTCACATGTAGTTTGTCGAGGATCAATTTCGATCGCCTGTTTAAGTACTGCATTATCGATCGTAGGAGGACGATTTTTGGGAGATGAGGCCAGTAGTCCTTTGGCCGGAAATCGTTGAAACCATCGCCGACACTGGCTTTCCGAAATAGCATCTTCCAAAATACTTTCCAAAGGTCTTGATGAGATTCAGCGGTATTTTTGCCCAATTTGAAGTCATACCAAAGACTGGTACGCAGACGAAACTTCTTGTCGTTCACAGAAATTAAATAAAAAATTGGTTTGACGTCAAAAACACGAAAAGTTATAATAAAATAAGAAAAAGAAAAGAAAAGTTATAATAAAATAAGAAATCCTGAGCAGCATATAGAGAATTGGGTTTAATAAAAAGCTCTAAGGGGCTGTAAAGCTCTAAGGGGCTGTAAAGCTCTAAGGAATGCTGTTCAAGTTGTTCAAGAGCAGGCGTGCATTCATAACTGGACAACCCAATACAATTTTACAACTCAACCAAATCTATGATAAGACGGCGCTGTTCTAAGGTTATAAGTGAGAAAAGTTTCAATCTATGTTTATAATTGATGGTAGTTAGCAAAATCAATTTTGAATAGTGCTATTCGAGTAAAGTTTTTCGGAATCTTTTCAATTTTATCGCTTAGGGATTTAGAAATAGGTGACCAAATTAAAGAATAATTTGAGTTGAGATTTGAGAATAATTAAAGAAGCATACTCGAGAATCGGGCGAACGTAGATAATAAAGCATTTCATGTATATGTCGTAGCCGCTGACGAATTTCAGCCGCTAACGAATCATTCGTTAACGGCTAGCCGCTAACGAATGAAATTATTCGCTAGCCGTTTACGAATGATTCGTAATCGGCTAGCCGCTAACGAATCATTCGTAATCGGCTAGCCGCTAACGAATCATTCGTTAGCGGCTAGCCGTTAACGAATGAAATTTTTTCACTAGATGTGTACGAAATCTTTGTAATTGGCTTCTGCGAACATGGCTAGATTCAAATGAACTTACCGTGTTTTTGGTTTCAAATTTTTTACGCAAAAAAAAAGAAAAGAGAAAAAATTCATTTTGAAGGGAGCTATTAAAAGTTGTCAAAATACCCCTTTGCTGAAAATGGGTCCTCCGGGACGAGTCCTCCCCATTGTTATCAGTGATTTCGGATTCATTTTCTTTCTGCTTTTTTATTATGCTTTGTTTTTATTATACTTGCTTTATTATATTTGTTTTTTCAGGATGAATTCGTTTCTCAACCAACTTGACACGTATCAAATTTTGAAAAAGCGAACGCATATACTAACGACGAAAAAATACGACGAAATTGCGAACAGATTGACAACAATGTCAAGTGAAAGTGAAAGCGAGAAACGGAAGCGAACGAGAGAAGAGGCGAATTGGGCACGTCGTTACTCGATTCAATGTATTGAGCAATCAAAAATACTCTACAATCATGGAGATAAAGGAGAGAACGAACAGCCAAAACGAGTCGTCAAGAAAGAGGAACTCTTCGATGTTTTGACGTCAACTCACAAAAGACTGGGACACGCCGGCCGGGACCTGATGTGGAAAGAACTGCGAGGAGATTATCACGGGATCTCAAAGGAAATACTCGAGATCTTTATCAAACTTTGCCCGGAATGTGAATTAAAGAAGGGGACACCAAAAAAAGGAGTTGTTGTGAAGCCGATCATAACGAAGGAGCAAAATGAACGCTGCCAAGTCGACTTAATTGATCTTCAATCGGTTCCGGACGACGACAACAAGTTTCTGATGGTTTATCAGGACCACCTCACGAAATTTGTAATTCTTAAAGCTCTAAAAACAAAAACGGCTTTTGAGGTGGTCAACCACTTGACAGAAATATTTGGCACCTTCGGAGCCCCACAAATTCTTCAATCCGATAATGGACGAGAATTCGCTAACAAAATGGTATGTTTTTAATGAAACCTAATCCTTTTATTAGTACCGTTGAAATGTGATTGTTTAGGTAAAAGAACTTTTGAATCGTTGGCCCGGATGTCGAATTGTACACGGTCGTCCTCGCCATTCACAGAGTCAAGGATCAGTCGAACGAGCAAATCAGGATGTGGAAGTATGTTTTTAATGTTGTTTTAAACCACATTTAAAAATTGTACCTATGTTTTTCTTTAGAAGATTCTCTGCACACAATTGAGGGAAGAGAAATCGACAAAATGGGCACGTATTCTTCCCATTGTGCAATCAATGAAGAATAGACGCTTTCATCGAGGAATTGGCCGATCTCCTTTTGAAGCAATGTTTGGAAGAAAAATGGTACTCGCAAATGAAAACGGAAAGATTCCAACAAATGAGAAAACAAATGTTACGGATATTGATAATGAGGTAGGACAATTGTGTTTCAAAGCATTTAGTTTGTATTTTTTAGGTTTTCGAAGGCGAGAAATTTGACGATTGGAGTGAAGCAATATTGGCAACTAGCACAGAAAATCCGTCATACTTTCCCGAATCCGACGAAGAACTCGATTCCGATCGTGAGTCAGGTTAGTGGTTTTGGTTTGATTTTTTTTATCTTGCTTCGATTTAATAGATAGTATTGCATTCATTTTAATCTTTAGTTTTAACTCAACGGGATGCAGAAATCGAGCAGCATCGAAAGGGAGCCGTCGAATCTCAACAGAAACAGGCCGACAAGATGCTGGAGAAATCGAAAAACAGGTTTTTGTTAGCGTTCGTACTTCTGAAATTAAACTTTTAAGTTTTTTCAATTGATTTTTTAGATTTGGACCAGTTGGAGTTGGAATGACGGTTCGTCTCCCAATCGATGTCGTCGATCGACCTAAAATCGGCCACTCGTCTCTTTTTGGTGTCGTGCTATCTTTGGAGGAGGGTTTATATCAGATTGGCACCAAGAATGGAGTTTTGCAGCAAAAGTTAGTTAAACTTAAATATTAAATTTATTCATTAATATTTAACATTTAGGCTCACCCGAAATCAGTTTGAACCGGCCAACAACAATTTTCTCTCCGCCGATGACGTCCCTTCTCAAAATACAACGTTTCGTGCAGCTATCGGAGCCGAATCATTATCAGGAACTCAGGGTAAACTTAAATATTTCATTTACCAGGATGATTTTATGGTTTAGGTCACAAGCATTGCAATTGCACAAATGGATGCACGAATGGACGATGTGTGTGCCTCAAAACCAATATGCTCTGCAATAGCCGATGTCATCACAGTAATTCCTGCACCAACAAATAAACAGTTTGTTTTATGCATTTTAGTTGATGTTTTGTTAGTTATAAACGTTATTATGTTATAAACGTTAATATGTTATAAATGTTAAATGTTATAAATTTTATTTCACTTGTTGTGATTAATTTGCTGATTTGCGTTTTGTATAAATAGTTTGAAATCAAAGGCTCATTTGAATCGAGCCATGTTCACGGAAGACGATTACAATTGTGCACGGCTAGCGAAAAAATTTCATTCGTTAACGGCTAGCCGCTAACGAATGATTCGTTAACGGCTGAAATTCGTCAGCGGCTACGACATACAGTGGTCCACAAATGTATTGTCCCATTGCCATCCAAAAGTTTCCTTCGTACGAAAATCTTGCAAAATAACGATATTCCCAAAAAGTGTAGGGTATTTTGCTTACCCATAATACTCTACTTTTCAGGATTATAAGATTTATCCGTATACATTGCAGAAAAATTAAAGTATAAAACAAAAACAATAAGTTACTTAACAAATAGCTCCACAAAAGTAATGTCCCATTTGCAAAGAATTAACAATTTTTTCAAAAAATTAATATTTGGTTGGTCCTCCTTTTGCTTTTATCGCTTCATTGAGTCGTTCCGGCATGGAATCCACGAGATTTTTCAAAAGACTTGGGCGGATGGTGGCCCAAAGACGTTGAATGTGAACCCATAAGGCGGCCTTCGAATCGAATTTCTTTCCCTTGAGGCGCGACTTCACAAATGACCACAAATGTTCAATTGGATTGAGATCCGGTGAGTAGGGAGGTGGATTGATCAATTTAACACGATTTGCCGCAAACCATCCGGGCAGACGAGCTCTGGTACCATTTTGAAGTGTCACCAGCCGTCCCATCATCAGTCTCGACTTGTGTTTCGGGTCGTTGTCCTGGTGAAGCATCCATCCGGGAGGCATGGTTCGAGTTGCAAAAGGAAGCATTTGAGTCTCCATAATGTTCTTGTAGGCCACAGCATCCATCGTTGAGTTGACGTGAACTAATGGACCTACTGAAGTTCGTGACATCGCTCCTAAAGAAAAACAGTCAGGTGACAAAATACTAAAAAGGTTCTTACCCCAACACATTATGTTTCCACCGTTGAATTTCACGGTAGGCCGAATGTACTTGAGTGAGTATCGCCTTCCAGTTGGTCGCCGAATAAGATGGTTTCCATCCGCGTGAAATAAATTGATTTTTGTCTCATCGGTAAATAATACTTTCGCCCAATCACGTGTCGTCCAACTTCGGTAGGTCCGTGCAAAGTCAAGGCGCTGCTTCCGGTGCTTAGAATTTGTCAGAGGTTTACGGGCAGCCCTTCTTGCAAATAATCCAGCTTGATTTAATCGTCGTCTGATCGCTTCCGGCGATACAACCTTGTTAAATTGATCCCTCATCATTTGGCTTCCATCGGTTGATGTTTTGTTAGGATCGTTTTTCACCATTTGGATCACGGCTCGATCTTCTTTTGTGGTTGTGATTGGTTGTCGGCCACTCTTGAGGCCTCGATGAAGGTTTCGGTAGACTTTTGATTGAGAAAGAATGCGGCGCACCGTCCTTATCGAGCAATTGAAGAGGTTGGCCACATCCTTTTCCCGCATCCCATTTTCCCGGGCCTTGGCGATTTGGAGCTTCGTTAGAGTGTCAAGGTTTTTCTTGCCAGTCATCTAAATAATAAAATAAAATACATTTAATGTTCATAGAAAGCAAAAATAAAAAGAATAATCAAGGAAAACATCAATGGGACATTACTTTTGTGGAGCTATTTGTTAAGTAACTTATTGTTTTTGTTTTATACTTTAATTTTTCTGCAATGTATACGGATAAATCTTATAATCCTGAAAAGTAGAGTATTATGGGTAAGCAAAATACCCTACACTTTTTGGGAATATCGTTATTTTGCAAGATTTTCGTACGAAGGAAACTTTTGGATGGCAATGGGACAATACATTTGTGGACCACTGTATATATTAATATCTGGTATGCAAATAGATCTAAGAATTTTGCCCGCACAAAAGGACGCCTTCTTACATATTTTTTTTCTATGTTTTTCTTCAAGAGCAGGCGTGCATTCATTCACTGGACAACCTAATATTAGGTGTGTGAAAAAGTAATCCACGTTTTTTATTTTTATTTTGTTTAAATAAATATATCTAAACAATTTTTAATTTTTTGTGAACGATCTATATATCGTTTAAAAGCTTATTTTTTTTCCTCTTTCGAATGATATATTTATTTTGTTAAAAGGACGACAATAAACTACTTTAATTTTAGTTTGAAAATGGTATACACAAGTATCGTTATTCGGTCAAATTTGCTTTATGAGTTCAAAAATGGGTTGAAAGCTGCGGAGGCTGCACGTCGAATTCGGAATGCGTTTGGCGAAGACGCCGTTATTGATGATACCGCTAGGTTTTGGTTCCGACGATTCAAAGGTGGTAATGAAAGCCTAGAAGATGAGCCACGTGGCGGTCGCCCTGAGATCTGTTCTGATGACCAAATAAGACGCTGTCTTCTCGAAAACCCTCGTTCAACCTCTTCAGAAATAGGTCTTACATTAAATTGTGATGGATCAACCGTAATGAAACGCTTGAATGCCATGAATTTTATTTAACGAAACTTATGGTCTATTATATTTAAACGTTAAAAACGTCGATTACTTTTTCACACACCTAATAGTTGCGAAAAACAACGGAGTTCTCAAGCAAAAGGATAAACTTTGACTTTGAGACTTTGAGAAGAACACAAAAACACAAAAACAAAACGAGACTTTGCGAAAAACGAGTTCAGCCTTAAGGAAAATCTTTTAGGCTGTGTAAAAATGAATTAGACTTGATCTGGTGAGAGTTACAGAAAATACAACTCTGTGTGCCGCATGGCAGTTACAACACTGCTGCATGGTAGTTTCAATTCAATAGTAAAAGTTTTGGAACAATAGTTCAAGCTAGTTCAAGCTAGTTCAAGCCGAAAAATCTTCAATTTCAAAATCTTTTTAAGTATTCTTTCCACTAAACTTTTTGCTTTTTATGAATCCAAATTTGCGCTTTAAAACCGTCCCTTCCTGCCCGATTTTCCACGTAATCTTTGCCTTTATTTTGTCTTCCTTTTCCAATCATTCAATCAAACAAATTGGCTTTATGAGCTCATTCGAAAAATTGGAAAATCAGCCATGTATCCGACTTTGATTTTTCTTCTATTTCCATATTGGATTTATGCGGTGGTGACAAATATCACGGTGATAGGGACAGTCGGTTGTTCGGGGAAGAAAATGGCTGGTGTCAAGGTTGAGCTGTACGATCGAGACGTTTGTGAGTTATTGAATGGAAATACCGTCAAACTTTACGCAAACCAATGTAGAATTGACTTGCTTATCGGCAAAAGTTAGCGCAGAATAGATTATGAATATAGAAAATAGATTATGATAGGTAGACGATAGGGAAAATATCTGTGATTTCTACTTGGCGTAAACTTTACTGATGAACATTGAGTAGATGATACATGGATATTGAGGTGATAGGGTGATACATGGATATTGAGTAAATTAGGGTAATACTGGGATAGATTTTGTGCATAACTTTTGTTTTGCTTTTGCTTTTGCTTTGCTTAGTTTTGCTAGCTGATTGCCCTGGTTCTCTGATGGACGAAGAAGCTTGCCAAGCCTAGACAACTTGTCAAGCCTAGACAACTTGTCAAGCCTAGACAACTTGTCAAGCCTAGACAACTTGTCAAGCCTAGACAACTTGTCAAGCCTAGACAACTTGTCAAGCCTAGACAACTTGTCAAGCCTAGACAACTTGTCAAGCCTAGACAACTTGTCAAGCCTAGACAACTTGTCAAGCCTAGACAACTTGTCAAGCCTAGACAACTTGTCAAGCCTAGACAACTTGTCAAGCTTAGGCAACTTGTCAAGCTTACCAATGAAAAGTATAAAGTAGCTTGTTCTCATTGTCCTATAACTTATTCTAACAATGTTTAACAATTCAATTCTAGTAAGCTACAACGATAAATTGGCGACAGTGACCACGAATCGAGACGGGAGCTTTGTGTTGGCGGGAAGTGAGAACGAGAAGGGACTCGAGCCATTCGTTCTCTTCTATCACACGTGTCGGGCTGCGGCGGTGAGCTGTCTTTGGAGCATTGTTTGGTTCAATTGGTATCTAACTTTGCGGGTGACACAACATCAGTGTGGCTGTCTCTGGAATTAGAGATCGGAGTTCGATCCCGGGATCGATCCATGGCCCAGATCCTTAACCTATCCAGCCGTCCTCGCCTTCCCTTCATTGCCAGAACAAGCTATCTAGGGATTGTTCAATAAGAGTGGGGATTAGGAGGCCGTTGAGAATAGGAGGCCGTTGAGAATAGGAAGCCGTCGAGAATGTAGAGAATGTTGTTAGAATATAGAGTGCTGTTGAGTGTCGTTAAGTTCATATAACCCCTAGTATTGTGTGTCGAATTGTGATTATCGTGCCGAAAAAACCACATCCGGGATCCCCGGTGTCTATCTTTATTCAGAAAACGTTTTATTTAGAACTGCTGGCGAGTGACTCACTATGACATCCCGAAGGGTTACGACAATCGAGTGTTTGACATGTCGCTCGTCACCCTCGACATGAAGACTTCCCGTGAGAGAGTGATTTGTTATTGAATAAACGTTTAATGTCGCTTCCTGAAATCACATACATTGCAGACGTTTCATGCTTAATTTCATTCACTAAATTTAATTCAGAACTCATGAAAACATTGGCAATAAAGCACTTCTCCGAGGCCTTAGATGGGCTCTTCTTATACAAGCCTGCAGTGACGTACACTGTATAGACGACGACTTCGGCTCGCTGAAAGTCCGTCTAAAACGCATTTTCCGAAGTGCCCACTATGAAATTCGTGATCTACGCAAGAAATTACCCAAGAAAAAGTGATTTTCGAAAAAATCTAGTGCCCCCTTAACCCTAAAATTATCAACCTTTCCTTCAACTACAGAAAATCAATCATTTCCTGATCATTTTGACATTTTGAATTCACCCTAACAAAAGTGTTTTGATGACTAAAATGACTTTTAACTGTGACTCATTGCGCCTTCAAAATGGAGAATTTAACAGAAACATCATTTTTTTTAACCGACAAATGCTTGTGGCTTATATTTTGCTGATTTTTCAACTCACAATTGTAGAAGCTGCGTGGACAAATGTGACCGTAACTGGGATGTTCGTTTGTGGGATAAGAGTGCAAAGAAAAGGAATCAGGGTCGAGCTTTGGGAACACGACATTTGTTAGTAAATGAAATTTGATCTAAAATATCTAAAAATTCTAGAGCCAACTCGAAAATGGCTTTGTCGTTATAATAAGTTACAGATTTTTAGTTGATCCTAATGACAAATTGGATGAAACAATCTCGGCACAGGACGGAACTTGGACGGTATCTGGTGGCGAGGACGAGTTCGGAAGCATTGACGCCTTTATTCTCATCTATCATCGATGTGGATTGGAAAGAACGGTAAGATCTGAACTGTGTAAAAGGTTAAAAGTTTTGAAAATTCTGGTGCCATTGGGATCCGAGTTGGTGTAGCTTGTTGGTGTACTATCCGAGTTGGTGTAGCTCCGAGCTTTCGACTGAACTCGGAGCTAGCTAGCGTAGAATCCCGGAGCTAATCTTGTTTTGTATTTCCCAACACGATATAAAGAAGGGTTCTGAATAGGCCGATTCTCACCAAAATTCTCGGCAGCTAGAACACCAATGGCAATCTGTCAATGGCAATCTATATGTCCTAGCCGATTATGAATCAAATGATTTCGCTAGCGAAAATCATAATCGGCTAGCCGATTATGAATAATTCATAACCGGCTAGCCGATTATGAATGAAAGTAGCTTTTTCTAGAAATTTGTCGTCAAATGCAAATTATTTTTTTATGTTGTAGCTGGTAAAACCCCAATTCCCCCAGTTCGAGTACGGATCGGCAACTTTCCCATTTCGACCCAGAATTTAAATGTCTTGAACCGTGATACGTTACTAGTTACCACTTGTTAATCATGCTTTATACTTTCGAACAAAGTTTAAGAGTTTTCACGTTTTTAACTTTTGTCTTTTATATTTTCATCGGACTAAATTTTCTTTTTAGGATGGAGGATCGATTTGCTGAAACCTTCACCCAATATCAATCTAAAAGAAAGAAGATTTTGATACCGACTGCTGACAAATACAATGAAATCGTTGTGAAAATCAAAGAATTCAGCGAGGGAAACGACAAGAAGAAAAAATCACGCGATGATGTCAACTTGCTAAATCGTTTCTCTCTTCGATACGAACAGGACCAGGCAAATCTCTACAGTCACGGAAGCGGGCAAAACAATCAACCAAGGTCAAGAAGGAGGAGCTCTTCAATCTACTGATGGATACTCACAAACGACTAGGACACGCTGAACGCGACACTATGTGGAAGGAACTTCGCGACTATCACGGAATTTCAAAGGAAATTCTTGAAATATTTGCCAAGCTTTGTGATGAATGCGAGCTGAAGAAGGGTATACCCGGATATATAGACGGCTGAAGAATGGTATATGGACGGTGTGCCTGTCGAAAAGCCAACGTCCTCTGTAATAGCCGATGTCACCAGAGCAATTCCTGCTTGGACAAGGGATAAATTTGTAAACCTTTGTTAATCTTTTGGCTTGCTATTGTTATTGTTATGTTTGTCGTTATTGTTTAACTCTAGAAAATTTGTTAATATGTTTTCGTTTACATTCAATAAACGTGGTTAAAACGTCAGGAGTTACCTTTGACAACAACAGCACTAAACAATTAAATATCAACATAATAATTTGCATTTGACGACAAATTTCTAGAAAAAGCTACTTTCATTCATAATCGGCTACGACATATGTATGCTACGTCCGAATCCAACCACGACTGTAATTGTCTTGCCAGTGGCAATCTAGCTATTTTTGCTATTGCTTGTTTTGTGTTTGTTCGATTCGAATGAGTTTGATATCATTCGATAGAGAATTAAATTTTGCATCGAATAAAATCAAATTTACCTAGGCACCGGTGCAGCGCCTCAGAGTATTGAGGCAAAGACAACTACATTGCCGTTTGCCATTGACAGATTGCCCTTGACAGATTGTCTTTGGAAGATTGCCATTGACAGATTGCCATTGGCAATATTTGTGGTCGGATTCGGACGCCTGGATCAGAACTGGACCCTGGTCGGATTCGGACGTAGCATATATACAGTGGCACACGATTATCGAAGCTCGGTTATTCGACTGTAACTCGACGCGCAATTATCTCGTTTAGTTTTTTAATTTGCCATAACAAAAAAAGCACTTGATTAGCAAAATGACTGTTAGTGATTCATTGAAAAATCTGATTTGATTGAAATTATTAAATAATAGATTATACAGAGTGGCGCACAATTATGGAAACTAGAGAGCGCCTCTGAGCTTCCACCTCAGAATTTCAAAGTACTATAACAAGGTGTAACACTGTGTTTTTGAACTAAAAATTGAGATTAATCGATTTTTTAGCCCCATTGTCATCGTATCAGTCAATACTGGGTGCCAAAGCGTTTCTACAACTCTGTCTATAAGATGGGGATTGTTGGCCTCGATCTATACACCGAGAATGACACATCTTGGTGTAAGAATCTTAAAGGAAAATTAACGCAACTTAAATGATAATTAATTGATTTTATTGGATAATAAATTCATTTTACCAGTGTACCAGAGTTTGATTTGTTTCAAAAATCACATTTCAATCACATCGCATACATTACAAACATTTAATGCTTGATTTCATTCACTAAATTTAATTCAGAACTCATCAAAACATTGGCAATAAAGCACTTGAATCAACCATTAAAAACAGCACAAGTTAATTAATTAATTTCGAACCTTTCGGTACTTGTGGGGTTGAGGGGGCACTATATTTTTCCGAAAACCACTTTTTCTCAGGTAGTTTTTTTTGCGTAGATCACGAATTTCATAGTGGAAGCTTGGGAAAATGTGTTTTAGACCGACTTTTCGAGGCTTGAAGTCTCTATAGTGTAATGTTTCACTGTAATGTTCCTAGAAAAAGAGCTCAAAAGTGGTTTAAGGAGCCTTTTCCTGAGCCTTAATGGACCAAAAAGACTTTTTCTGAGATGATTTAGAGTCCCGCGTACAATTCTAATCAAATTCGAATAGAAAATTTGAAAATAAAAATTTCAAAAATTTCGCGAAATTTTCATGGATGAAAACCATCCAAAATTCGAAATTTTTTAACTTTTTAAGATCTAATTCTGCTATTTTTATGTCCTGGATACTCAATTTACTCAAAGAAAGTGTTTTTGCGTGTTGAAAAAAATTCTCCGAGGCCTTAGATGGGCTCTTCTTATACAGGCCTGCAGTGACGTACACGGTAGAGACGGCGACCTCGGCTCGCTGAAAGTCCGTCTAAAACGCATTTTCCTGGCCCATCAAGGCTCAGGAAAAGGCTCATTAAACCACTTTTGAGCTCTTCTTCTAGGAACATTACAGTGAAACATTACACTATAGAGAGGGGGACTTCAAGCCTCGAAAAGTCGGTTTAAAACACAGCTTCCACTATGAAATTCATGATCTACGCAAGCAACTACCCAAGAAAAAGTGGTTTTCGAAAAAATAGAGTGCCCCCTCGACCCCAAAATTATCAACCATTCTTCAACTACAGAAAATCAATCATTTCTTAATCACATTTTGAATTCACCCTAACAAAAGTGTTTTGATGACTAAAATGACTTTTAACTGTGATTCATTGCGCCTTCAAAATGGAGAATTTAACAGAAACATATATTCTTTTACCGACAAATGCTTGTGGCTTATATTTTGCTGATTTTTCAACTAACAATTGTGGAAGCTGAGTGGACAAATGTGACCGTAACTGGGATTTTCGTCTGTGGGATAAGAGTGCTAAAAGGAGGAGTCAAAGTGGAGCTTTGGGAACACGACTTCTGTTAGTAAATGAAATTTGATCTAAAATATCTAAAAATTCTAGAGCGAACTCAAAAATGGCTTTGTCGTTATAATAAGCTACAGACTTTTAGTTGACCCTAATGACAAATTGGATGAAACGAGCCCGGCACATGACGGAACTTGGACGGTATTTGGTGGCGAGGACGAGTTCGGAAGCATTGACGCCTTTATTCTCATCTATCATCGATGTGGATTGGAAACATCGGTAAGATCTGAAATGTGTAAAAGGTTGAAGGTTTAGAACATTCTGGTGCCATTGGGATCCGAGTTGGTGTAGCTTGTTGGTGTAGTATCGGAGTTGGTGTAGCTCCGAGCTTTCGACTGAACTCGGAGCTAGCTAGCGTAGAATCCCGGAGCTAAACTTGTTTTTCCTTGTATTTCCCAACACGATATAAAGAAGGGTTCTGAATAAGCCGACTCACCAAAATTCTCGGCAGCTAGAACACCAATGGTAATCTGTCAATGGCAATCTATGTATGCTACGTCCGAATCCAACCACGACTGTAATTGTCTTGCCAGTGGCAATCTAGCTATTTTTGCTATTGCTTGTTTTGTGTTTGTTCGATTCGAATGAGTTTGATATCATTCGATAGAGAATTAAATTTTGCATCGAATAAAATCAAATTTACCAAGGCACCGGTGCAGCGCCTCAGAGTATTGAGGCAAAGACCACTACATTGCGGTTTGCCATTGACAGATTGCCATTGACAGGTTGCCATTGGCAATGATTGTAGTCGGATTCCGACGTCGGGATCGGAACTGGACCCTGGTTGGATTCGGACGTAACATATATGCAGGGCAGCACACAATTATCGAAGCTCGGTTTTTCGACCGTAACTCGACGCCCAATTATCTCGTTATATGTAACTCGTTTAGTTTTTTAATTTGCCATAACAAAAACAACACTTCGATTATCAATATGACTGTTAGTGATTCATTGGAAAACCTGATTTGGTTGAAATTATTAAATAATAGATTATACAGAGTGGCGCCCAATTATGGAAACTAGAGAGCGCCTCTGAACTTCCACCTCTGAACTTCAAAGTACTATAACAAGGTGTAACACTGTGTTTTTGAACTAAAAATTGAGATTAATCTATTTTTTAGCGGCATTGTCATCGTATCAGTCAATACTGGGTGCCAAAGCGTTTCTACAACTCTGTCTATAATATGTCGCTTGTTGGCCTCGATCTACGCACCAAGAATGACACAACTTGGTGTAGGAATCTTGATGGAGAATTAACGCAATGGTAATTAATGGATAATAAATGGATAATAAATTCATTTTACCAGTGTACCAGAGTTTGATTTGTTTCAAAAATCACATTTCAATCACATCGCATACATTACAAACATTTAATGCTTGATTACATTCACTAAATTTGATTCAGAACTCATTAAAACATTGGCAATAAACCACTTGATTCAACCATTAAAAACAGCACAAGTTAATTAATTAATTTCGAATCTTTCGGTACTTGTGGGGTTGAGGGGGCACTATATTTTTTCGAAAACCATTTTTTCTCATGTAGTGGAAGGTAGATCACGGAAGATCTCTCGGTAGATCTCAGGTAGATCACGAATTTCATAGTGGAAGCTTGGGAAAATGTGTTTTAGACCGACTTTTCGAGGCTTGAAGTCCCCCGCTCTATAGTGTAATGTTTCACTGTTCACATGTATGCTTTGTTTCAAAAATCACATCATAATCAGCCATTTTTTCTTTCGATAACAATCAATGACTCAGAGGATTTCGATTTGTTTACGAATTTGAGAGAGAAATCTCAAAAATTCCTTTTTCAAGGATATCGCTTTTTTTAAGTTTAAGAAAAGAGTAAGAAAATAAAAATTGAGAAAATAGAAATTGAGAAAATCGGGAGTATAAAATTGATGTGATCTCGGGGGAAAGGAGAGAAATGAGATGATATCGAGATAGGGATTTGTCTTTTTATGGGCACTCTTTCTCGTAAAACTTTCACTCAGGCTACTCATTTTAAACGTTTTTTTGCCATTTCTGTTTTACTATTTCTGTTTTACCATTGAACGTTTGAATTACAAGTTGAATGGAAGTTTGAATGGAAGTTTGAATGGAAGTTTTGATCCAATTCTTGCTTTGTTTATTTGCCAAATCTTGCTTTGTTTATTTGCTAATTCTTGCTTTGTTTATTTGTCAACTCTTGCTTTGTTTATTTGTCAATTCTTGCTTTGCCAAATCTTTTTTCTCCTCATCTCATTGTCACTGTTTACTAGGATAAAAGTATTCAGTTTTAAGGCTAATCTTTTCCAAGTGATTCCAAATCCAAGTGATTTCAATCAAACTTTCCTCCAAAAACAAATTCAATAACAAATTCAACAACATTTTCAACTTAAATAAACTCAAATACTCACTCAGTTAGTCTGAAATTTTAGATTAACAATCGCAGTCTAAAATCTCATCCCAACTTATTCTTAGTATAGTAAAACTAAAACTGTACCTTACAATGCTTTACAAAACCTTACAAAACTCTACTTTACCTTACAATGCCAGCAATTTACTTAAAATTTCATTGTCTTAAGATATCGTTACTATTTTTGCATCGTTCAATCTTTCCCTTTCAGAAATGAAGCTCTTGATCCTTGCCGCTCTTCTTGGAGTCACTTTGGCTAAAGTCTCCACCATTACCGTCAAGGGAATCACCGTTTGTAACAAGAAAAGAGTGCCCGGGCTTAAAGTTGAGCTGATGGAGGAAGATGGAGGTAAAGTCTAAGCTTTTTATTCAAGTTTAAAACCCCTTTGCAGTCACCAGAGACGACAAGTTGGCGACGGTGACCACTGACGGACAAGGAAACTTCGAGGTGTCTGGACAGGATGATGAATGGGGAACGATTGAGCCATATCTCTACGTCTATCACAAGTGTCGTATCTTGAAAGAGGTGAAAATCGCAAACTCTTTCCACTTTCTAATAACCAACCCCAAAGAAAGCCAACTGTTTACTTTGATTTGAGTTTTAGACTTCATACAAAAAAGTATTACCGTATTTTCTTTAATAGTAGTGGACCCAGGCGAGCCGAGTTGGTGACTATTTTACAGTTCCCAAGCTTGCGCAGAAGCTCAACACTCAAATCCTCCACTAGATCTCATCGTCAGCTACATTTTCCGACCCCACATCGATAGGTTCTGATAAGCGGTTCTCGAGATTTCGAGCAATTTAGGTGACGCTCATGGTGCACTACTATTAGAGAAAATACGGTAATATGGACAAATAGCTTCAGACAAATAGCTTCAGCACTTGCAAGCAGAGTTTTTTCAAGATTATTTTTCAGTACAGAGTTGAACCTGGCTGGTTTGTCTTATGGCTTCTGTCAGAGTCAGGCACAGGCTTAGCTTCGGCCTGCAAAAACGGACCCGAGTTCTAGCCTGATCTTGCCTGACTTGGTTTACAAGCAGGCATGTTAACTCCGCCCCTTTTTTTGGTCCGTTTGCCGTTGGCAATCGTGTTTTACTCGTATCTTAGCCGGATTTATTTGAAAAACGTTGAATTTGCTTTCATTCGACTCGAAATCAAATTTTCTATCGAATACAAACAAATCAAATTAATTTTTCTATCGAATGAAAGCAAATTCGACGTTTTTCAAACAAACCTGGTCAAGAGACGAGCAAGATTCGTAAATTGCCAACGGCAAACACAACAAAAAAGGGGCGGAGATTTCATAGCGACATTTGATAGCGCCGCCCCTTTTGCCATTGGCAATCCAACTTTGGGTTCAATTATCTTGGTGCTGGGTTGTCGAATTTCTATATTCTTGGTATCATTAGATGCGTCAAGTCTTTCTCTATCGATCAGTACAAAAACTATTTAAATTGAACAGTCGAACATCAAGATATTTGAGCTCAAAGTTGCCAATGGCAAAAGGAGTGGGGCGCGTATAAAAGGTCCGTCGCCCCGCCCCTTTTCCCATCGGCAATCTAACTTTGAGCTCAAATTCCTTGGTGTTGGGCTGTCCAATTGTAATAGTTTTTGTACAAATCGACAGAGAAAGACTTAGCACATGTAATGATACCAAGAATGTTTAAATTGGCCAACCCAATACGAAGATATTTGTGCGCAAAGTTAGATTGACAATGAAAAAAGGGGCGGTGCGCGTATAAAATGTCCGATAACCAGATTTGAATACAAGGGTCCTTGCCGTTGGATCAAAATCTAGAAGAACCCAAATAACTTTTCACTCAGCGCATTATTGGTTTGTTATCATTTACCCGATTTTAGTTTGACAGTTTGGGGCGCGTATTAAATGTCTCAAAATCGAGTTAATATGGCTGTTTACAAGCAAAAAAGCAATATTTGGAGTAAATAGCAAGCTGTTCTCATAAAAAAAAAATCAATATCATCTTATAGCATTTTTAGGGATGCTGGACGAGAACCAAATACGAGGTTCCCTCATCGAAAATCAATGGTGTTTATGACATGACCTATGTGACTCTCGATGTTGTTCAAGCCGAGGAGGATCATGTCTGCTAAATTTTCATAAATTTCTGATTTCAATAAACGTTTCTGAAACAATAGATATTGTTTGTTTTGACTACACATTTTCTGCGTCAATAAAAGTGGTTGAAAAATGGAAAATTTTCACATTACGGAAAATGAAGCTTCTTTTCTTGTTGGGTTTCTTTATTTTTCTTGAAGCTAAGCTTCAAACTATCACTATAATTGGCAGTTTTTACTGTGAAGTGGAGAAGGATGGTCCAACCGGTTATTACGATTCTGATTTGAGGGTTTCAGTTGTCGATCATGATTATCGTAAGTTTGGAAGAAAATTTGACTTCTTGTTTTGACAAAATCCAATATGGAAACTGGATTTTGAGGAAATTGAGGAATTGTTTAAAAGTGATTGATCGAAATCTATGAGTCAGCAGTCAGCAGTCCTTTAGTCAGCAGTCAGCAGTCTTTTAGTCAACAGTCAGCAGTCCTTTAGTCAGCAGTCAGCAGTCCTTTAGTCAGCAAAGATGACGTGCTTGCTGAAGGCTATTTCAAGGATGGAACCGTCGAATTGTCCGGTTCAACTGATGAGCGTTTCGAGATTGTGCCAAAGATGTGGGTCGATCACCGCTGTGGATGGAATCGAACCGAGCCGGTAAGTTTAACACAATCTGTATTTTATGCGTACATTCGCATAGTCGTCACGATTTTACTGATAATCTGATTAAAAACTGATTAAAAAGACATTTATTGAAAAAACCAATAATTTGAAACAAACAAAGGATAAATAATAAGAAATAAAGGTCTAAACACACAATTTTATGGCACTGCAGTGTCATAAAATGATTATACGAATGATTTGTGTTTTACAGGAAGCAGGCGTCATTAGTTGGAAACAAAATTATGTAAACAATAAAAAAAGAGCCAAAATTTTGATTGAAGTGAAGAAAAAGAAAAAGAATTGAAGAAGTTCATAAAAACACATTTGTTTATTTTATAATTTTGTTTTTTTTGTAATGGTTCCGGTAGTTTCCCCACGCTTTAGCGCGCAGAAAGTTGAAAAACGCTACTTTTGCGTTCAAAAGGCATCAACTTTTCACAGATTCACCCAATTGATCTCGCTTTGGTGTCAATATGTGCACAAGACCCTTGAGCATAAAGTTTGGTATATGAGGCTCACCAAAATTTCCTTTTCGCCGAGAACCAGCGCGTAAAAGAGAGGCAATTTTGACGTTTATATAGAAAAATAGTGATTTTTCGATTTTTTTCGATTTAAAATAAATCTGTCAGACGGATTCGAAAAATTCTTTCAAATTTGAATTCAGGACATTTTTTTTGCATCAAATAGCACTTACCGTGAGCAAATTTAACGGCGATCGCATTTTTCGCGCGGATGTGCAATGTGTTCTTTTGATTGCTTCTCATTTTCCGGGCATTTGTCCATTTTTCGCCTTATTTCGCGCAGACGTGCACTGCGGCTGTTATCCCTACTACCCCCATTACCCTAAATGTTGTGAAAGAAAAAGCCCACCTGGTGGGAAAAAGAAACATTTTTGACTGTAATTTAACTGAGTAATTGAAGCCTCGACCTTCCGCTTATGAGACAAGACTCCTAACCGGTCGGTCATCCGGTCATGATGAAGATTCAAAGATAAACTAAACTATTATAGTCATTCGATAACCCTGAATCTCCTCTTGAAAACTAGTACAAAGTTACCGAGAACTTTCTGCGAAATAAATAAGGTACTTGTCGGTTAGACATCCACAAAGACTCATCTCGGTTAAGCATCCCCATCCGAGTCTTCTCGGTGATCGATTTTCGTTCCACTGATCGACTGATAACTTCAGAAGTCGTCAGCTGTCACGAGTCATCAGCTTCTTGCTTCTCGGTGATCGATTTTCGTTCCACTGATCGACTGATAACTTCAGAAGTCGTCAGCTGTCACGAGTCATCAGCTTCTTGCTTCTCGGTGATCGATTTTCGTTCCCACTGATCGACTGATAACTTCAGAAGTCGTCAGCTGTCACGAGTCATCAGCTTCTTGCTTCTCGGTGATCGATTTTCGTTCCACTGATCGACTGATAACTTCAGAAGTCGTCAGCTGTCACGAGTCATCAGCTTCTTGCTTCTCGGTGATCGATTTTCGTTCCACTGATCGACTGATAACTTCAGAAGTCGTCAGCTGTCACGAGTCATCAGCTTCTAGCTTCTCGGTGATCAATTTTCGTTCCACTGATCGACTGATCACTCCAGGCGAGCACTCTACTTCACTGAACATAATCACCCCTCACAGTTGTCAGCACCTTGCTTAACCGAGTTTGAGTCTCTGTGAATGTATCACCGACAAGTACCTAAATAACAAAAGTCCGTAAAAGCTTGAGTTAACACCAACATTTTTGGTACAATGAAATGAAATATCTGGACAATGAAATATACTGGACAATGAAATATGATATTTGAAAAACGATCGTCACTTTCTCGTGTCGGTATCTCCCTTGTCTTTTAGTCTAAACTATTAGTCTTATACATTTTCTGAAAGCTCTTTTCAAGGGCTACACAATGGTAATATTAATATTTAGAAATACGGTAAAGACAAAGGAGTTATATACGCGCAAAAGGGACGATCTTTTTTCAATTATGATATTTCATTGTCCAGTAGTGTACGAGCCAGGTCGTATCGTCGCGAATATGCTAAAAGTTAAGCAGTATTTGAAAGAGAAAGCTGAATTTCTCGGAATTTATCTTGGTAGCTAGAGTTTGATTCTCGTTTTTTAAACTTTTCAAACGTTTTAAACGTTTTAAACGTTTTTCAACTTTCAAAATTGCCGTGACTTTGCCCCTTTATCTCCAACGAGTCGAAAGCGCTGAGAAAAATGCGCCTGACGGACAGACAAACAGATAAACAGACACTTTCCTTCTACATGGTAGAAGATAAAGATAAAGGAGATAAGGGGGCAAAGTCACGGTAGTTTTGTATTTATGTTACGTCCAAATCCGACCTAAACCCTTGACCACGCCACTTTGCGTGGCTGTATCTCCAAAACTAGTGGGCCAATTTTGATCATTTTGGTGTCAAAATGATCATTTTTGATCATTTTGTCAAGCAAGACTTATAGATTCTTTTGAAGTTACATCTGAAAAAGGTTAATTAGTTAAAGTAAGAAAAAAATCTGAAATTAGTTCGGATTCGGACGGTTAGCTCAGATTTGGAAATTCGAATTCGAACTAATTTCATATTTTTAGGTTCAAGTTGGAATTCTCCCATGTCTAGTATTGGATTGATGGAAAAGTCCTTTCCGATTTTTTGGGAGAATACCTTAAATTTGTCCAATTTTGACGTTTTATAGCTCATCCGAAAGCTGAATTCAAGACGGATCGATTGGTAAAAACCGTTTTGAGATATCTCTTTTCTAAAAGTTTTTACAGCTATTTTAGTAAGGGCAGAGCCAAAAAATGGCTGTTTTCACGTTTCGTTAGTTTTTCGTGCAGAAACCTCGGCTAAAAACATGTGTTTCGTGATCAGCGTCAAAAATAACCCCTAGACACGCATTTTCAGAATCTCAGCAAAAAATTTTTGAAAAATATTGTTACCGGTGGAAGTCGAACCAGCGACCCTCAGATCAATGGCCTTTCCGCCGCTTTTCGCGATTTTCTTTCGTTTTTCGCGAACCTAGGCTAAAAACAAAAACATGTAACTGTTAGTAACATGTTAGTTACATGTTTTTGTTTTTAGCCTAGGTTTCTGCACGAAAAACTAACGAAACGTGAAAACAGCCATTTTTTGGCTCTGCCCTTACTAAAATAGCTGTAAAAACTTTTAGAAAAGAGATATCTCAAAACGGTTTTTACCAATCGATCCGTCTTGAATTCAGCTTTCGGATGAGCTATAAAACGTCAAAATTGGACAAATTTAAGGTATTCTCCCAAAAAATCGGAAAGGACTTTTCCATCAACCCAATAGATACTTTGATACCTTTCAGTCTGCTATTGAGTATACTTCATCTCACAAAATCAAAGCAGAAAGAGTCCAGAAGCAGAAGCAGAAGCAGAAGCAAAAGCAGAAGCAGAAGCAGAGCAGAAGCAGAAGCAGGAAGCAGAAGCAGAAGCAAAAGCAAAAGCAGAAGCAGAAGCAGAAGCAGAAGCAGAAGCAGAAAGTTTAGCAAAAACAATATTTAGGAAGAATGTTACACGAGAACGGAGTTTTTCATTGGAAACGAATGGATTGATAAAATTTATTACTTCCGTGTGTTTCTGGATATCCCGCTTTCGGATCCGGATAATATGATAAGAAAAGAGACAAGAAGGTAAGCGATTTCGGCTCCTTTTCAAGCGTATTTTGCTTGTAAACAAAAATGGACTTTATCATCATTTTTTAGATGCAATGGTCGGCGTCGAAGCAAACTTCAACCCCAACAAATTGATTCTCAGACTTCTGAGTAAACATTCATTCTATCTTTCTATGTCGTTTGCTTTAAAATCAGCTAGCCTTTTGCTTTAAAATCTTTCTGTTAGCTTTCTGTTAGCTCACAGAAAGTGGTCTTTCCGGGTCTCTCCATCACCACACACATTTCATTATTTGGAAGATAATAAGTCTTTCGCTGCATCACTTCTTGAACACCTTCCTGAAAATGATTTATGAAATGATTTATCATTCCTAGAGCAGGATCATTCCTAGAGCAGGATCATTCCTAGAGCAGGATCATTCCTAGAGCAGGATCATTCCTAGAGCAGGATCATTCCTAGAGCAGGATCATTCCTAGAGCAAAATCTCCAGGCCAGGCCAGGACCAGAAAGAAAGGGGTAAGCTAATGGATAAAACTTGCTTTAAAAAGTTTAAAAGTGCTTTAAAAGGTGGGTTTGCTGTCGTTTGCTTTAAAATCAGCTAATCTTTTGCTTTAAAATCAGCTCACAGAAAACCAAATTCAAATTCAGATTCCAAATTCTAAAAAAGCCTTTCAAATTTCAAATCAAAGCCTTTCAAAATCCCATTCGAGCTCTCAAAATGCCATTTGTTTTGACTAGAAAATGTGAATAAAAAACAATTTCTAAATCTTTCGTATTGTAGATCGATTTTGGGGAAAATATTTCAATTTTGGGGAAAGTTTGCTGTTGAAAAATCATTCAAAAGAATGACCTTCAAGCTTTTATCATTTTTCCCATTATTTCTCTACGTCCAAAGTCATCTTCAAACCGTGGCAATAAGGGGTCAAATCCTATGCACAGTTGATGGTGGACGATATCATGATTCCGATTTGAGAGTCTCCATTGTGGATCACGATTATTGTGGGTTTTTCTGGGGAAAGTTTGAGCTCAGCCAGTCCGTCAGCCAGTCCGTCAGCCAGTCCGTCAGTCAGTTCGTCAGCCAGTCCGTCAGTCAGTCAGTCAGCCAGTCAGTCAGCCAGTCAGTCAGCCAGTCAGTCAGCCAGTCAGTCAGCCACTTTTGTGCTTAAATTACGAAATCGATTCATTTAAATGATTTCGGACTCTATATTTCTTTAAATATTTGTCGCTTAGGTAATTCATTTTGTCATTTTGTGCTTAGGTAATTCATTTTTTTCAATAAGAACTTCAAACTATTAAAAGTAAAATGAATGTAAGTGATTTCACAACTTTAAATGTTTATCTTCAAAATCTAATATATATATAAATGTTCAACTGGAATCTAATCTACTATGTATAAAAAAATAAAATGTCTATCCGTCCGTCTGTCACGCCTACGCGACAATACAAAATGCTATTTGTATATTAACGTAAAATTACAACGAGGTGAGCTAGAAAGCTGAAAATTTGTACTCGAGGGTTTCCGGGGGCGAGAAATACGAATCTGCAATCAGATTTGTGCTACGTGGTCTCAGTACCTCTAGGTAAAATATCCGTGCGGCCGCGTAGCGGACTCCAAACGCAGCCAGTCAGTCCGTCAGCCAGTCCATCAGCCAGTCCGTCAGTCAGTCCGTCAGCCAGTCCATCAGCCAGTCCGTCAGTCAGTCCGTCAGCCAGTCCGTTAGCCAGTCCGTTAGCAATAAACTTGAAAAATGAGCCATTTTAGCTAAAAGTTTCAGGATTAGGGTAAAAAGTTTGCTGATATATACAAAAAAATAAAACGTCTATCCGTTCGTTCGTCTGTCACGCCTACGCGACAATACAAAATGCCATTTGTACATTAACGTAAAATTACAACGAAGTGAGCTAGAAAGCTGAAAATTTGTACTCGAGGGGTTTCCCGGGGCGAGGAATCCGACTGCGCCACGGCGACAAAACCTCTGCCCCAAAACATCCCGGCAGAACAGCCGTTAGACGGGTTTTTTGGTTGGTATCTTTATAGTAAGAAAGGAATGGAACCAAGAGGGAATTGAACCCTCCATCTTCCGCTTACCAGGCTGATGGCTTAGGCTTAGGCCCGACTGCGCTATCGGCGCCTTCTTTGGCCGAGAAGGAATGGGAAATTCAAGGAAGAAAGAGAGGGAAATACCTGAGTTTTCAGAACCTTCTTCAGTAGAAATTTAAGTACAATACCAGTGATCTTCTAGTCAGCAGAGACGATGTGATGGCTGAGGGATTTTTCCCGAATGGAACCGTTTCCTTGACGGGAACGCTCGATGAATATTTCAAGATTCAACCGAAGATCTGGATCGATCACCAATGTGGAATGGGACGGAAACAACAGGTCAACAAAACAACAACAATTAAAAGCTTATTTGATCAAAGTAAGGAAGAGCGGCTAAACTGAGTTTGGGTAGACGAAATTAGCTTTTATTGACACAATTGTTGACAATTAAAGAATTGATTGACTGTTCATTGGCTAGTGATTTTCTAGATCTAGAAACAAGAAAATGTGTACAATGTTTTGTTTTGAAATGCCAATTTGTCAGGATTGCTTCACACGAACGGAATTCTTTATCGGTGCGGATGTAATCAATAAGATTTATGATTTTGGAAATCTTTTCTTAGACAAAGGCGAGAAACCCTACAGGAACAATAAAATCAAGTGAGAGATTCACAAAAGAAATAAGTAAAAAAGATCAATAAAATATTGGGTTGGTGAATTGAAAACTGCGGGCTATTGTCACATGTGACAGTTTGAGCACTTTCTTCAAAAGAAACCCATTTTGGTGTCAATGGAAAAGTTGTAGAGAATCAAAAATCAAGCTTATATCCAAATTTTCAGAACGATTCAAAAACTGGTTTTCAAGAAATGCCAAGTTTAAGAAAGAAATGCCAAATCTTCACAAAACTTGCATTTTAAGCTGAAACTACTAAGTGTATCTTTTTTGGAAATTTGGCTATAAGCCTAATTTTTGATTCTCTACAACTTTTCTATTGACACCAAAATGGGTTTCTTTTGAAGAAAGTGCTCAAACTGGGATCTCCAGTCTCCATCTCCAGTCCTCCATTTTTGAGTCTCACACTTGTCTCATACACAAACCGAAATCCTACTATGAAAGAGGAATCCGCAAATTGCCTGTAAAATGGGCAGAAGTTGTTAATAATAATGAAGATTATTTGGAATGATTCGATGGTTTTATGTTCAATAAATTTTAGTTCAAAGTCCCGCAGTTTTCAATTAACCAACCCAATAATATGCAAATTGTTATTTGTTGGGTTTTCTAGTTATGAATGCGCGTTTTTTACTATTAGAAAGCTTGATATAAAAAGTTTTTGAATTCATTCAACTTTTTGGGAAATTGACTGCACAGAAGAAGAGGTGGCCAAAAAATGGAAGGGCGCCTTTGGCTCAAGTTTTGGCTCCGCTCAAATTGAGTTAACCGTTTGATGTTTGGCTAATAGATATATCAATACAACGTTTTTTAAATATAACAACTTCAGAGCATCTTTACTTTTCTGGGCGGTTATTTTACACCATAAAACTTGAGGAATAGCTAAGTTGAAATGGGTTTTTTCCGAAAACGACCTCTCCCTTTGTGCAGTCAATTTCCCAAAAAGTTGAATGAATTGAAAAGCTTTTTTATTCCAAAATGTAGAGGAGATCTTCAGCTTTCGAATGATATATAACACTCATATACATCTGTTCGATATCTTGAGAAATTTACAAAATAGTAAAAACGCGCATTCATAACTGGACAACCCAATACTTTTAGTATCATTGGAGTCCTTCTCTGTCGATTGGTACAAAACTATCACTAGTACAAACTGGACAACCCAATAGATGCTATTTAGATGTTATTTAGATGTTATTTAGATGTTATTTAGATGTGAGGGCCGTAGGAAAAACCCGAAGAACTCGCAAAAAATTGCTACAACGTTTCATGAATGATCTCTATTTACATCAAGATCAACAAATCGAGAAACCAGAGAGAATTCAATAAAGGAAAAGACCTACTATGTACAGAAATTGAGGGAATACGAGAAAATTGAAAGAAAGAAACTTGACTCATTGACTCTTTTTCATCGTTTTGTGTTTATCCTCGTATGGCCGGATTACCATGTACCAAATCATGTCCGACAATGAGATCACTCCCTGCAATTTAAAGTTTTTAAGAGAAATTTTTGAGGATAAGTTACATTAGCGAGTAAGCTTCTAGTTCAAGTTGGTTTGGAAGAGTTTTTTTACTAAATGCTCAGCCAAAAACCCGTCCCAAATGTGGCCAATGCGCCACAAGAAAACTTTCCAACGGCTTCTGTGGTCTAGTGGATAATGTGCTAGTCTTCGGAACTTATGAAGCTTTTTCGGCTTGGGTTCGAATCTCCCATAACCAATTTTCTTGTTTTTCTTTTTCTTTTCTTTTTTGGACACATTTGCATTAAATATTTATGTTTTATTCATCATTTTACAGCTTCTACAGCTTCTACAGCTTCTGCAGCTTCTACAGCTTCTACAGCTTCTAAAGACATAACATGCTAATGGAATCTTTTTCCAGGAAAATTCATAGACATTTTCGAATTCTGGCATCATTTTTTCATGACTTTATGAATTCTAGAAATTCTAGCAGCAAAAAATCTTCAAATTTGACGATACAGTCAACCGCAGTGCCCTTTTAACTGAAAATTGCGTTGTTTTACTGCAAAATTTCGCGTTGTTATCATGCGACTCCATAAAAAAACTTTGTCTTTTCATTTTAAGCCTACGTTGAACTCGATTTGAACTTTGAATTGTTATTGTGTATAGTTCTAGACCTTTAAAATAAGATCTTTTTTGTTTAAACTAATTGTAAGTCATTAATAAGTGACAGCATGTAGTGTCAGATTCAATCAGACAGGTCACTTATTGTTCATAAAATGATTATTAAATGTACTCTTTCCATTGTACTCTTTCCATTGTACTCTTTCCATTGTACTCTTTCCATTGTGCTCTTTCCATTGTACTCTTTCCATTGTACTCCTTCCATTGTCCTCTTTCTAGTCAACTGCATCATTTTGTCCTCAACTAACCTTCAAATTATTGTTGTCATCGATTGCAAAAAGTCTATGTACATTTCTCTCAATGAACACCTCGAGCACCGTCCACATCGTGGCGTTCTCGGCGACGGTCACCACCGAATCACCGCCACTTGTACCACCCTAGAAAAGATTTTTGGTGTAAAACCTACAATAAAATCCAGCTATGGGATAACTTGATGCTTTAGAGTTTAACCTTTAACACATTTACACCCACCGGTTGGCCACCGGTTGGCCACCGGTACAGCCCACGGGTGGACCGTACATGATTTAGCATTTTTTTTGAGGCCGATTGCTCTGAAAATTTGCACCAGGGGTTTTCGACGATGAGGAATTCGAATCCCTAACTGGTTTCTACAGAAAGCCGCTCTATTTTGAAAATTTCATTTGGTTTAATTACCCAAGTTTTTAGAGAGTTTTGTGATTTGTGATGATCGTATTGGCTTGGAAATGAAAGTCGCTCAAAAACTCATAACGGATTCCGATTCTCTATCCCAGAATGCCCGCGGTTACAAATTTTCAGATCTACAGCTAACATAGATAGCTTTAAAATAGCAGCAAAGACAAAGATGGCAACACTAACAAACAAAGTGCTCCTCCTGTTCACCGCTTCTTCGACGGACATGTCGAGTTTCGGGAAATTCTCATCAAATCCAACAGCAATCGCGTCGAATCGCGTGTAAACATTGACTAGCTAAAAATTTGAAGGGTTTTTGCTATTTTTCTTTAATGTGTTTACCTTTTTAGAGCCATTTTCCACGACTGGAACGCCACTGACGCGTTGATCGATGAGAAGATCAAGCACATCGATTAGAGGGGTTCTTTCTTCGACCTAACAAAAATAGGATAAAAGGGGAAAGAATGAAATTGTTAAAATCAAATATAAAGCTTCAAAATAAACAAAATACCGTATTCTCTCTAATAATAGTGCACTCTTTAATAGTAGTGCTCTCTAATAGTAGTGCACTCTCTAATAGTATTGCGGTCCAGGAGGGAGTTGAAAAAATAGTAGTGCACCCACGAAAATTTGAATTTCTGGTTCTCCTTTTCATCTAGACCTTTTTGACTTTATGTTTATGTGACATTCTAAAGCTATTCAAGCAAGCAAAAATGAGCCTTTTTTATTCATTTATTAACTATTTTTCACATGAAAAAGTTAGCAAAAAATCTAAAATTGTCGTGCAAAGTGCAAAAACATCTTTTTGTTGTTTGTCAAGACACAAATTGTCAACTCGCCGGCCCGCAACTGTATGTCAGGAGCCAAAGACAAAGGAGCCAAAGGAGTACGTGAAAGAGTTGCAAGAATTTTTGGAACAAATCTTAGATCTGTCTTACTTTGGTAAATGATAAAACTCTTTAATAGTACTGCACTCTCTGATAGTATTGCGGTCCAGGAGGGGGTTCAAAAAATAGTAGTGCGTACTACTATTAGAGAGAATACGGTAAACAATATAAACTCAAAATTTACGCACATAGATGATATCTTTCCAGCAGCCGAGTTGAAGCTTTTGAATGCTTTCACTCATGTAGGCAGGTCGGGGCAAAAGGAGACACTAAAAAGTGCAAAGATGAGACTTTTTGCGATAAGATTTGAATGAATAATTGGATTAATATAATAGTAAACTTTCTATAATATTGAATTTCAGTTTGTGAAGTTTCAGTTTTTGAAATTTTCAGCTTTAAGGTTTAAGTTTACAGAGAATCTCACACTTTCACGCTTTCAGCATATTGCACTTGGCTGAAATGAGCACTTTACAGTTGGCTGTTGGCTATATACAGCTTTACAGCTGTTGGATACACCAAAATACTTCTTTATCCTCTGTATTAGATTTCTTTAAGCTGATTAACTTTTCAAAGTTTACTATTGGGTTGGTGAATTGAAAACTGAGTAAGTAGCCGTGAGTAAAGTAAAGTGATCAATTTAGAGGAAAAAGAGATTTTTTTGAACTATCTACCGTAATCCTGTCTGTCCGAAAGTCCAGACAGACAGGTTTACGGTAGTGTCTGAAAGGTTTTCGAAAAGAAAAATCAGTTGAAGTGTTGTATTATTTGCGTTTTTTTGGAAAGTAAAGTCTAGAGGGCCACTTGTTCAGAGTTTCTTCCAGCAGTTTTCATTTATTTGATTGGTGAATTGAAAACTGCGGGCTATTGTCACATGTGACAGTTTGAGCACTTTCTTCAAAAGAAACCCATTTTGGTGTCAATGGAAAAGTTGTAGAGAATCAAAAATCAAGCTTATAGCCAAATTTTCAGAACGATTCAAAAACTGGTTTTCAAGAAATGCCAAATTTACGAATTTTCACAAAACTTGCAACAAAACATGCATTTTAAGCGAAACTACTAAGTGTATCTTTTTGGAAATTTGGATATAAGCTTGATTTTTGATTCTCTACAACTTTTCCATTGACACCAAAATGGGTTTCTTTTGAAGAAAGTGCTCAAACTGGGATCTCCAGTCTCCATCTCCAGTCCTCCATTTTTGAGTCTCACACTTGTCTCACACACAAACCGAAATCCTACTACGAAAGAGGAATCCGCAAATTGCCTGTAAAATGGGCAGAAGTTGTCAATAATAATGAAGATTATTTGGAATGAATTTATGGTTTTATGTTGAATAAATTTTAGTTCAAAGTCCCGCAGTTTTCCATTCACCAACCCAATAGTTTAAGTTGTATAGTTTGTTCGATCGGAACTAACGTAATTCCACAAGAAGTGCAAAATTCGCCGATGTGTGAGAATGAACATGCAATCGTTGGTCGATTTGTCCATGATCGGTAAACGGTGCACTCGGCGAGACCACAAAATTCGCACCGCGTGGAATAAACTAAAATTATCAATTTGAAGAGATGTCAAATCTTAAAGGAGGGGTTCGAATTAGAACCATTTCCCACTAGTTTAGACTAATTAAACCCGGGTTCCAATTGGTAGAATCAATAAAATGAATAACGCCAAGAGATTCGCCGACCCCGAAAACCGCCGGGTACAAACTTACAGCTGAATATCTTCTTTTTATGCCATGTACAATGCAAAAGCAGAATCCCTATGTAAATCACTAGCGAGATGCCCTTTGTGCGCGCCAGTAAATGCTCTCCATCTGGCGCCTCCTCTCGATAGATAAGCGTTCCCTTTTGAAATCGTTAAAGTAGAAGGAGCGGTGAATAGCTGTGCGGAGGGTCACTATGCCCAAATTTTTGGGATCAGTTCTTGCCTTAAATATTATTAGAAATGTGGTACAAATTCTACATCCGTCCAAATCAAAAATAGCTGAAATACTGAAGTTTCGAGGACGCAGTTGGAAGAACCCTTGGAACCGCAGTTGGAAAATGCTGAATGGATCATTCCAGGAGATTATCATTACTACAAGCATGGAATGCTCTTTCGCGGAAAGTTTGGATGAAAGTTTGGATCAGTTTGGATCAGATCAGTGAGTGAAAGCGCCTGTTTCACTTTGGATCAAGGACTGGATCTGGTATCTATACATAAAAACTGGTCTAGTAGGGTACTAATCACGCGCTTAGAAGTCGCATTTCCGATCATCCAAAGTCGCATTTCCGGTCATCCAAACACGCAAAAGCTTTATTCTTATCAGGTTCTACAAATTTTCGATCTTGTCAAACTAACTATAAAATACCAAAGTGAGGGTTCAAGGTTGAAACTGACCAAAACTGATTCCATCCTTTAATACCTGATAAATGATGGATAAAACGATTAACTTTAGTCATTTCTAAATGAAATATGTAACCTAATTCGAACCCTCCTTTAAGATTTACTTGTTTACTTCAACTTCACCTGTCTTTTATATTGGCCGTGATGAATCCCCGATAGGTTTCACTGTCCAACTTTTGATGCTCTAAAAATGTGCTTGAGAAATTAACTGATAAAATTGGTAAATATTGCTACATATTGGTGAAAGTATTACGCTTTTGCGCACCGGGTTCACATTGTCGGCTTGCGCCAGAAATTCTACCTTTCCAGCGCGAGACGGGCATGCAACCGACGAGATCGGCCAACACTTGTGGGCTCAACCCATTGCTGCTCTCATTTTCTAAAGTTCTTGCAAATATTATATGCTTTCTGCAAATTATATATGCGTTTTGCGGGCATTGCAAAGGAAAACACAATTTGAAGTTGTCGATCATCTAATGGAAATATTCGGAACGTTTGGAGCCCCAAAAATTCTTCAGTCCGACAACGGAAAGGAGTTCGCCAACAGATTGATAAGCTTTTACTTTTGTTTGCAACTATAGCACTTGCATAAGCACTTGCATAAAGCACAATTTGAAGTTGTCGATCATCTAATGGAAATATTCGGAACGTTTGGAGCCCCAAAAATTCTTCAGTCCGACAACGGAAAGGAGTTCGCCAACAGATTGGTAAGCTTTCACTTTTGTTTTAACTTTACCCCCCTCCCCACCACTCTCCATAAAAAAAAATTTTGTTTTTTTCCTCCTCTTTTTGGAAATTTTCGGAACGTTTGGAGCCCCAAGTCCGACAACGGAAAGGAGTTTGCCAGAATAAGCTTTTACTTTTGTTTGCAACTATAGCACTTGCATAAGCGTAATAAATTTTTTGAATTTCTTTTATTTAATTCTTTCAAACATAAATCCCCAAAATCGGTAGTTGAAAGAGAAAAAGTGATATTAAACGACTAGAAAGCGAAAGAATGACTGGAAAAATTTACCGTTTATTTGCTTCTGGTATTTCCACAGTTTCATCAAAACCATAATAAAATCGGTCACCGAAAGAACACCAATAATATTGTACGATTTTGGATCAACAATTAAACCCGTTCTCGTAGCTGAATGTTTTCTGTACAAAAGTTACAAAATTTCAACTCACAATTGTACACAAGTCCATAGAAAGCTTTACGCACCGGCATATCGCTCGTGAATGCGACAATTTTTTGGTTAAGAGCCATTGCTTCGTAGCATTGGCTCAATTGGAGGAGATGAGTGTAGACAAAATCGGGTTCATCTGAAATTCAAGATTTCTAAAAGAGTCAAGGGAAAGATACCGAGTCTAGCTGGTTTTCTTTGACTCGAGTCAGATTTCTTTGACTCGAGTCAGATTTCTTTAACTCGAGTCAAATTAGAGTCAGTCAGTCATGACACGAGTCAACAATTCAAGTCAGTCATGACTGACTGACTGACTCTCTAACATGACTGACTGACTCTATAACATGACTGACTCCATAACATGACTGACTCTATAACATGACTGACTCTAATTATAGAGTCAGTCATGTTATAGAGTCAGTCATTGGGATTTTGAATCCGTTTTTAGTTTTTACAAAACGCTTCGCAAACGTCGTGGGATATTTGGCATAGAAAATCACCTTGAATTTTGAGCTCTTTATGAGACAGTCCTAAAAACTGCTTCGATAGTCTAGTGGATAGTCTGCTAGGCTACGGAATTTAGTACATTTTGGCCTTTTAGTACATTTAGTACCCCTTCAAGTTCGGGTCTCACTCTCGTCAAATTTTCTCACTTTTTAAAAAACTTTCCTTACATATTTGCATTGAATTGTTGACTCATATTTGCATTGAATTGTTTACACGTTTGTTGTTTTTTACAGGGCTTTCTGTAACTTCAACAAATAATTTACAAAAGCTAGAACCTTTTAAAGTATCCGATTCAGTAGATAAGTATTAAAATAGCATTTGGCGAAGAAAGCGAAGAAAATTCAACTAGTTTATTCATTGCAAATATGTAGGGAAATAGCTTTTTAAAAAAGCAAAAAAGTTTGGCGAGGGTGGGACTCGAACTTGGGGCAAAGAATGTAATTGGTTTAGTAGTCTACCAGGCTGCCTACTAGACTACCAGGCTACCAGTCTGCCTACTAGACTACCAAGCTACCAGGCTGCCTACTAGACTACCAGGCTACCAGGCTATCTACTAGACTACCAGGCTACCAGGCTATCTACTAGACTACCAGGCTACCAGGCTATCCACTAGACTACCAGGCTACCAGGCTATCCACTAGACTACCAGGCTACCAGGCTATCCACTAGACTACCGGCTACCAGGCTATCTACTAGACTACCAGGCTACCAGGCTATCCACTAGACTACCAGGCTACCAGGCTATCCACTAGACTACCAGGCTACCAGGCTATCCACTAGACTACCAGGCTACCAGGCTATCCACTAGACTACCAGGCTACCAGGCTATCCACTAGACTACCAGGCTACCAGGCTATCCACTAGACTACCAGGCTACCAGGCTATCCACTAGACTACCAGGCTACCAGGCTATCCACTAGACTACCAGGCACTAGCCTACCAAAGCCGTTATTTAGGGAGCGTGTAGCGGCATCTTAAAAAGTCCAAAATTTAGATAAAAGGCCAGCTTGATTTGGTGTCTTTCCCTCGACAGAAATCTCTTTTAAAGCTTTTGGAGCCAAGTCATCTCTTTTAAAGCTTTTACAGCTTTTGCTTTGGGCTTTTGTGCTTATAACCTGTAATCTAAAGTAAGTCCAGTAAAATTGTTCTACCTATCGGAACTGATGCGACAATTGTGTAGATTGCCTCTTTATTTTGAGAGCTTTTCGGTGACGCGGGGCCATCGCTTGTTGTCGGCACGCTGATATCCCTAAAATGTTAGTGTATTCAACTTTAACAGCAAATTCTATCAGCTTTTTTATTTAGCTGGTACTGCGGCTGTTCTTTGAATTATTTGGTTCTCAGCTAGACACGAATTTATATTCGTTTTCGATTCTTTTTCAAGTCGATTCATTTTCGAGTCGATTCTTTTTCAAGTCGATTCATTTTTGAAGCCATCCAGAAAGTCTTTTTTTTTGTTTCTTTTCATACTTTCGTTGAAAATAACCAATTCACCAATTAACCTACCGTAAATACTGTAATAGTACCCCACCCCCATAATGACGGTGCGAAGTGTTGCGTAGTCTAGCTTTGAACGAGTTTTTCTCGACACTGGTTTATGCTACAATGCGCGTTTAGGTATCAAAAAATAGCTGAAATTCAGGGCTATTTTTTGATACCAAAGACGTATGTTTTACTGTAATAGTACTCCACCCTCGTAATGACGGTGCGGAGTGTTGCGTCGTCTAGTGTGTCTAGCTTTGAACGAGTTTTTCTCGACACTGGTTTATGCTACAATGCGCGTTTAGGTATCAAAAAATAGCCCTGAATTTCAGCTATTTTTTGATACCAAAGACGTATTTTTTGAAAGTACGGGCGCTTTGAAAAAAAATGAAATACTAAAAAACTTTTGCGACTACGTGACTGTACGAGGGGTGGGGCACTATTACAGTATTTACGGTATAGTTTGCTTTCAATAAAAGCTATTGGTATCGATTAGCTTGATCTCATAGACCAATCTTTTCTTTAAATTTTTATTAGGCTGTCCAGAAAGTCAGTTGAAACGTGGAAAAATAACAAATTCACCAATTAACCTATGGTTTCCACTCAATAAAAGTGTTTTTTTTTGTTCGATTTCCAACTTTTTAAGTCAATTTTGGTTGACTTTGTACCAAATTCGAGAATGAAAACGTGTTTTTGATCTATAAAAACCTCTACGAAGAAATTGGTTGAAGCAATTTCTCTGAAAATTTGGCTATATACTAAACTTTTTGTGCTCTATCTTTTATCTATTGACACGAAGATAGGTTTCGTTAGCTAAAGTGTCTAATTTGATCGATTCCATCTATTTACATTATCGAGCCATCGCCCTTTTTGACTACCCGACTTTACGCTCCCAAAAAAAGCCAGACATATTAAACCCGTTTTAATGTTATTTTGCTTTTTAAAAAGTGTTTTTATTCAATTCTCCATCTATTCAAGTCATTTCGGTTAACTTTCTACCAAATTCGAGAATTCGAGAATGTTTTTGATCTATAAAAACCTCTACGAAGAAATTGGCTGAAGCAATTTCTCTGAAAATTTGGCTATATACCAAACTTTTTGTGCTCTATCTTTTATGTATTGACACGAAGATAGGTTTCCTTAGCTGAAAGTGTATAAACCGCATCATCGAACCGCATTTTAACTGCCCGACTTCACGCTCCTAGATATCAGACAGTGCTACCCAGATATCAGACAGTGTAAACCAATTTTAAATGTCATTTTGCAGAGAAATAATTGGTTTTTCTAATGAAATAAACCGTCGTTCAATTGGTGCATTTGTTGGTTTTAAATGGAAGTACGAAAAGAAACGAAAAGACTTTCTGGACAGTCTAATATCTTTTGTTTTAATATCTTTGGTCAATAAGGTGTAAAAACGAACGCGAAATGTGTGTCTCCGCCATTTTGAAGAGCCAATAAGCCATCCAATGGAACGTGCTTGAGTGGGACGACGAAAGCATGGCTCAAGTCGATCACCGCTGAAATGAGAAAATGAGACTAGATTGCGAGTTTTCGGACATTTGATACACGCTACGCCCTTTTGCCATTGGCAATCTAACTTTGAGCTCAAATTTCTCGGTGTTGGACTGTGCAATTTAAATATTATTGGTATCATTGGATGCTCCAAGTCTTTCTCTGTCGTTTGGTACAAAAACTATTTCGATTAGATAGCCCAACACCAAGAGATTTGAGCTCAAAGTTAGATTGCTGATGGCAGAAGGGGCGACGGACCTTTTATATGCGCCGCGCCCCTTTTGAATGAAACTCTGAATGAAACTCTTTTCTAGCTGAAGCTTCTAGCATTCTAGCTGAAGCTTCTAGCTTTCTAGCTGAAGCTTCTAGCTGAAACTCTTTTCTAGCCAAACCTAAACGAGATGGTAGAGTTGAATTTTTATTCGAAAAGTCAAAAAACAACTTTCTTTATTCCTATTTATTCATTTCTAAAGTAATACATAGACAAACCGCTTTTTTAAAGTTAGCGTTTGGATTGTGGGACCTTTTATACACATCGCGCCTCTGTTGCCATTGGCAATCTAACTTTGAGCTCAAATATCTTGGTGGTGGGTGGTCCAATTTAAATATTTTTGATATCATTAGATGTGCCAAGTCTTTCTCTATCGATTGGTACAAAAACTATTTAAATTGAACAGCCCAACACCAAGATATTTGGGCTCAAAGTTAGATTGCCAATGGCAAGGGGGCGGGACATTCCTTTTATACGCAACTCGTTTTGCCCCTTTGCCATTGGCAATCTAACTTTGGGCTTAAATATCTTGGGGTTAGGCTGCTCAATTTAAACATTCTTGGTAGCACCAGATGCGCCAGATTTCTCTGTCGATTGGTACAAAAACTATTTCAATTAAACAGTCCAACACCAAGAGATTTGAGCTCAAAGTTGCATTAGCAATGGCAAAAGGGGCGGAGCCAGTGAAATTTGGTTTGATTATGAGTTTGGTTCAAATCAAGCTGTTTTTGTTGCTTTAAAGTCGACTAAAAAGTATAAAAAGATAAAATTCTGTCAAGCGCTTTCAATATTATTTGTTGCTTTTTGATAAGTTATCAAAAACCGGGAAAAATTTTCCGCAAAACTCACAATCCGGCAAAAACGTAGTCGCTTTGTTTCTCCTCAATCCGCTTCCATCCATACAGAAGAAATTCTCTAATTTTGCTTCAAAGAAATTCTTCAATACAATTTTGCTGTAAAAATTGATAAACTGAAAAGCCAGACAAGTTTTGAAAGACAAGAGAATGAAAAAGTGAATGAAAGTAATGTCGAATTAGTTTTTCGCGGGGCAGCTGTGCTTTGTGAAAAAAAGAAATGAGAAAAAAGGGAGAAAGAAGGAAAAATCCGAGTGAATAATGGAGCTCATTTACGAGAATGGACAGAAAAAAAGGAACCGATCTTTAACCGATTGAAATTCAGTTATGAGTTGAGCGAATTTTGAGTTTCCAAAAAGGAAATGTAAGCTAGGTCATTGTAAGCTAGGCGATTGTAAGCTAGGTCAAAAACGACATTTATTTTCATTTGATACAACTAAATTGCCTAATAAATAAGAAGAAATGTGAATTTTGAAATGTAATGTAAAAGAAATGAAGATTTTGTGACTCGAAGCATTTGGGGTTTCAAAGTTTAGTTTCAAAATGAATTTGATGATCGAGTTTAGATGTTTTCTGGGATAATTAGACGAGAAAGTATCCAAATCACTATTTGGATTTTGACTCAATGTAGTTTATCTTAAAGTTTTTGATTTAAAACCAAGCATTATAGCACAATAAGTATTGGGTTGGTGAATTGAAAACTGCCGGACTTTGAACTAAAATTTATTCAACATAAAGCCAATGAATTCATTCCAAATAATTTCCATTATTATTGACGACTTCTGCCGATTTTACAGGCAATTTGCGGATTCCTCTTTCGTAGTAGGATTTTGGTTTGTGTGTGAGACCAGTGTGAGACTCAGAAATGGAGGACTGGAGATGGAGACTGGAGATCCCAGTTTGAGCACTTTCTTCAAAAGAAACCCATTTTGGTGTCAATGGAAAAGTTGTAGAGAATCAAAAATTAGGCTTATAGCCAAATTTCCAAAAAGATACACTTAGTAGTTTCGCTTAAAATGCAAGTTTTGTGAAGATTTGGCATTTCTTTCTTAAACTTGGCATTTCTTGAAAACCAGTTTTTGAATCGTTCTGAAAATTTGGATATAAGCTTGATTTTTGATTCTCTACAACTTTTCCATTGACACCAAAATGGGTTTCTTTTGAAGAAAGTGCTCAAACTGTCACATATGACAATAGCCGGCAGTTTTCAATTCACCAACCCAATATTTTCATTTGACACAACTAAATTGTCTAAAGAATAAGAAAAAATGTGAATTTTGAAATGTAATTTAAAAGAAATGCAAATTTTTTGGCTCGAGGCATTTGGGATTTCAAAATTTAGTTTCAAAATGAATTTGATGATCGAGTTTAGACGTTTTCTGGGATAATTAGACGGGAAAGTATCGAAATCACTATTTGGATTGTGACTCAATGTAGTTTATCTTAAAGTTTTTGATTTAAAACTAAGCATTATAGCATAATAAGCATTATACATTATATATAACAATAAATATTATATCTAACCTTTGGCTTTTCAAAGATCAATCGATCAAGAAACAAAACTTTGGTCAAGCACCAGTTTATCTTCAATAAAAAATTTCAAAGAAAGCAAAAAAAGCAAAAAAAGAAATCAGTTGGCCCTGGAAAGTTTCTTTTTGATCGTTTAAATGGAGAAAAGTAGAAAGGATGGACACGAGGAAGCAAAAGAGATAATAGAAATGGAAAAGATGGAAAAGATTCAAGAGACAAACAGAGATTTTCTTTGCTTTTTTCCCTCAAAATGAGATCTCTTTTCTGTAAAAAGAAACACTCAAGAGGAACGGAGAAATATTTTCTATGAGAGGATTTCTTGATCTCGATACGCTTGTAATTCGCAAGAAGAGTTTGATTGGTTTAATTGAATGTTAATTAAATTAATTAAATCCGTTAATTAAATGGATATCGAATTTGTGATGTGATTTTGTGATGCAACAGTTTGAAACGAGAAGTTTGATAAGAAATGCAATGCTTTATAAGAATGCTATGTTGATAAGAATGCTATGCTATGCTGATATGCGTTATGCTTGATAAGAGATCATCTGTGAGAATCGTTTCAAAATGAGTAAGTGATCAACACCGACTAAGTGATCAACACCGCTAAAAGAGCAAAAGATTCAGAATATCCCCCAAAGAAAAATCTCCTAGATTAATTCGTGTACATTTGATTGTAAACAAGGATCCGCAATGGGTAGACTGCTTTTTGATCATTGCTTTCTGTAAGAAATATATTCATACTTTGATCTTTATAATTTCTTGTGAGACCGTGTCTCGGTATGGTTTAAGATGTCTTGAAAACGCATAATAGAGAAAAGGAACCAAATCTGTAGAGAAAAGGAACCAAACGTGTAGAGAAACGGAATCAATCTATACAGAAAAGGAACCAAACGTGTAGAGAAAAGGAATCAATCTATACAGAAAAGGAACCAAATCTGTAGAGAAAAGGAACCAAATCTTTATCAAAACTTTCCCTTATTAGAGCAAACTTGGCTCAGACTGGAGTTCGCTCAGACTGGAGTTGGAGCAGCTCAGACTGGAGCAGCTCAGACTGGAGCTGGAGCGGCTCAGAACAAATCTATACCGAAAGGAAACAAATCTGTAGAGAAAAGGAACAAATCTTTATCAAAACTTTCCCTTATTAGGGCAAACTTCGCTCAAACTGGAGCAACCTCGCACTATCACAATTACTCCAACACTTGCGTGTGATAAAAGGATGAATAGAAAAAGGAGCCCACAACTGCCTCAAGACAAAGCTTAAATAATGGGTTCTTAAGTACACAAGCTACGACAAACGGACAACTGAATATCGTCTAGTGGCTGATTACGGTAGTTTATCCATCAACTTTGAATTTTAACTTATGTATTGAATTTTGACTAACTGCAGAGGAGCGGCAATTCGCCACACTTTCTATACATTGATTTTGCTTTAAAAATTATCCTTTCTTGGAGTTTCACTAAAAGTTATTGAACTCTTAGCTTTTATTTAGCTTTACTCGGTTTCAAAACCTAAAAAGTCTACATTTTCCTCTAGTTCAAATCTTGCATTGCTGGCAGGCATTACTGGCGTTCAAATCTGGCATTGCTGGCGTTCAAATCTGGCATTACTGGCGTTCAAATCTGGCATTGCTGGCGTTCAAATCTGGCATTGCTGGCGTTCAAATCTGGCATTGCTGCCAAAAAGTTTCCCCAACAAAGTCTACTTTTCTTCATGCTCCAATTAATTGCGCCATCTGCTTGATCAGCTTGATTAGGTAATCAAGCTGATCAACTAAACTATTAGGTGTGTGAAAAAGTAATCCACGTTTTTAACGTTTAAATATAAAAGACCATAAGTTTCGTTAAAATAATTTTTATTCAACGAAGTAATCACCATTCGAAAGAACAACCTTTTGCCAACGTTCTGCAAGTAAAGACATTCCACGATAATAAAAATCTTGGTCCGTAGAGGCGAGGAAAGGATCAACCTCGGTTTTGACATCTTCTTCGGAATTGAACCGTTTATTGGCCAAAAAGTTAGACAGAGACAAAAATAAATAATAATCAGATGGAGAAAGGTCTGGACTATAAGGTGGATGTGGTAAAACCTCCCATCCAACACTCTGGATTTTTTGTCGAGTCTGTAAAGAGACATGTGGTTGCGTGTTATCGTTCATGCGGTATCCATTTGTCCAACTTTTTGATAAAATTCATGGCATTCAAGCGTTTCCATACGGTTGACCCATCACAGGTTGAACGAGGGTTTTCGAGAAGACAGAGTCTTATTTGGTCATCAGATAAAAATAAAAAAAACGTGGATTACTTTTTTCACACACCTAATAGTAGGTAATCAAGCTGATCAACTAAACTAGTAGATAATCAGGCTGATCAACAAATCAATTAAACTAATCATCAATTAAACTAATCATTTATTTATAGACTTTAAAGAATAAATGAATAGATTTCTTAAAATGAATAGATTTCTTAAAATGAATAGATTTTTCATCACCAAATCTGTGTTCTCATTCATGTAATGCCTCAAATCGCGGGAGAAAAGCCGAGATAAGAAGTGCTCAGTAGCTGGAAACACATTGATTTTTTTAATATTTTCTGGAAACTATTCTAATATTTTCATTATTTTAATAGTTTATTATGGATTCTCTAGAGTTAGAAGCTTTGGTGAGTGATTTTCCAATACTTAAAGAAGAAAAGTTCAGCTGGAAAATAGAAAACACGAAAAACATCGAATTGTTTTGCATGTCTACGATGATGAAAGCAAAGAATTCACTTCGTTGACTACATATCATGGAATGGTGAGAAGAATGGGGTTTTGAAAGGCTTTGAAATGACAAATATACAGGGCGCGGCAAAAGTTCGGAGCCGCTTCTTTAGGTAGTTAAAGGTTTAAAAACTAGCTTTAAAAGTTAAAAATTAATAACAAACTCTTTATTCGAATCATAACAACAAATAACTTATAACAAATGCTCGAAATTTCCACCATCCGCTTCGATACACCTCTTTAAACGCTTTGGGAAGTTCCTCACGATGGTGGCGCACGCTTAAACAGTTATTTCATCCCAGACTCGTTTCAGAGTAGATTTTAAAGCATCCACTGTTTGATACGTCTTTATCGCGATCTTGCCTTCCAAAATAGCCCAAACGGTGTAATCGAGGGGATTAAGATCCGGCGAATTTGAAGGCCAAATGGTCTTATCCCAAAAGCCTGGAAACAATTGAGCGCAAACGTTGAGAGTTGAGTGAGCACCATGGTCGACCACTTCGAGGGCGATCCTTGTCGTTCTTTATCTCCTTGTAGCGTTTAATTGCTTTGTTGACGGTGCTTTTTGGATATTTCGTGATTTTTACAAGCTCCGGGCTATTTTTTCCGCCTAGATATAATCCGAGAATCACATCGCGTCCTTTTTTTGGCGCTCATTCTTACGAATTTTCTCCTAAAAAGAAAATTTTTGTAACAAATCACCTTAATTATACTCGAAAAAAGGGAAAAAAGTATACAAGACACAAAAAAAAAAGCGTGAGCTAAATTTTCTGCAATGTTTTCATAGCGGCTCCGAACTTTTGCCGCACCCTGTATATGTCGTAGCCGTTTACGAAATTCAGCCGTTAACGAATCATTCGTTAACGGCTAGCCGATTACGAATGAATTTTTTCGCTAACATAATAACGTTTATAACAAACAAAAGATCAACTAAAATGCATGCGGAACCAATTGAAGATCAATTAAGTCGACTTGGTAGCGTTCATTTTGCTCCCTCGTTATGATCGGCTTCACAACAACTCCTTTTTTGGCGTCCTCCTCTGAATTCGGCTAAATGGCTAGCGAAAAATTTTATTCGTTAACGGCTAGCGGCTGAATTTCGTAAACGGCTACGACATATATATTCGAAATCAGCGTAAAATTCTGCGTTGAATGGTATAGATCGCATAGAATTTGGCTCAGCCAGTTGGCCTTCTCTTGTCAGTAATAAAGTACCGAAAGTACTGAAGTACTGAAATAGTACTGAAATAGTACTGAAATAGTACTGAAATAGTACCGAAAGTACTGAAAGTAGAGGATAGTACTGAAAATAGCGAAATTTAGAGTAAAAAAAATGGCGAAATGATGAATTGACAATAGTAAAGTGACTCGAATTAGCAATTTTTCAAGAAATTTAGACAAAATAAAAGCACAAGAAGGGTTCAGATTACAAATTGAGCTTTGTCAATAGATCAAATTAGAGAGAAATTAGAAATTAGAAATTTTACAGATTGATGCTTAGATTTATGGTAAAAACTAGGAAATAATAAAAAGTAGTCACTTTTTTTTCTATTAGAAATGACTAAGACTAAGAAAAGTAACTCTTTTCTATTAGTTTTAAGTCACAAAACTGAAAACTCAGTCACCCAATTGGTCTTGATTCTTTCTGATCGTTCCATCACCAGTATTTTATTACCATTGTACTTTTGTACATTGAACATTGTACATTGAAAATCTGTACTTGAGGGTTTTCGACTACGTTGATGCCGAATCTGAAATCAGAAAGAGGCCGTTGTAGAAAAGTTTACAAGATAAATTTGATTAAAACGCTCTGTGAAACACTTTTTAGATCAGAATCTACTCATCCGACACATGGCCATCGCGGATTTTCTGGTGCCTTGTCGTGGTCACTTGTTTGGTTCTCTTTTTATTACATGTAAGGTTTTATGGGTCTATTTGACTATCTTAAATCAAGAAAATCAAAAAATGAAAGAAAAATTACGGTTTTCTTTCATGGTGCATTGTGAAAAGCTATCATATCAAAACAAAGCTATCATATCAAAGCTATCATATCAAACTCAAAGCCAATTCGATTTTCTTGGGACTTTTCTGGGGGCGAAGGGTTAAAATAAACTCGCCAATAAGTTCTACGATCCTAGAAACCCGATGCACAAATTTTTAACATTAAATCTCATTTGGGGAATCATTTAAAGAACAAGAACAAAAGAAAAATCACTGTGTAAAGTAATTGGCGAGATGTTCTTTGTTCTCGCCTAAGCGCTAGCTTTCTGGCATAGCGGTCTGGCATAAGGGGCTTTGATTTCCAAAGCATAGGACCTGACGCTCGCCCCTCCCGATCATCAGTACACTCAAGGCCCTGTGAACTTTGTCCGGTCGCCTAATCGCTAGCTTTCTGGCATAGCGGTCTGGGATAAGGGCTTTGATTTCCAAGGGACCGGAACTGACGATCGCCCCTCTCGATCATCAGTACACTCAAAGCCCTGTGAACTCTAGGCGGTCGCCTAATCGCTAACTTTCTGGCATAGCGGTCTGGCATAAGGGGCTTTGATTTCCAAAGCAAAGGACCTGACGCTCGCCCCTCCCGATCATCAGTACACTCAAAGCCCTGTGAACTCTAGGCGGTCGCCTAATCGCTAGCTTTCTGGCACAGCGGTCTGGCATAAGGGGCTTCCTCCTGTGATCTGAAAAAGAAAAGGAGCGGCCAGCAGACGAGCCGACGTCTGCTGGCCCCTCTCAATGATCACGACATTCAAAACCAGCCATCACTATGATCATCACTACACTCAAAACCCTGGGACCAGCCCCACCCGAAATTCGATTGTATTTTTGATATAAATGCTACTTCCCTCCAAACAGCATCACTATGCCCAAATTCCTGAAATCAATTCCGGCTCAAATTTGGCTCTATTTTTGCTACAAATTCCAATCAAAGTCCAGCCCGAAGCTGGTCGGTCAAAAATTTCCCCTTGGCCCTGAACCGTTCTTTTTTCACGGGAATTTCTCATTTCCCCCATGTTTGTGGAATTGAAATCTAAAGAGATTTCTTTTTCACAAAAATGCTTCAGCATTACAATTGATATTCTAAGTTCTGCCAAAGTTGGGAAATTTCCAATCAAACAACTTTTTGCATTTATTTCTACAGCAGTTCTTCTTTTGTTTATCTGATTTTTGTATTCGGATGCTTCGAACACGTAACTAATCCGATTTTCTTTCAAATTTTCAGCTACTGCCGTTTCGAGTAGGTTCCCGGTTCGAGTAAGCGAAAATGCAGTAAATTTGAGGCAAGAATTGATCCAAAAATTTGTGCCTACGGATTTTCATGATCCTAAAACCCATTGGCGGCGTTTATTTTAACCCTTTTTCCCAAGAAAAGTCTCAAGAGAATCGAATTGACTTTGGATTTTGCATCTGATAGCTTTTCGCAATGAAAGCTTTTCGCAAATATCCGTATCCTATCGATTTCGATCGGAGAAAAACCAAAATTACTTTATTTTTCAGTTTAAATTTCGATTTACCTACTTTACTTTATTCCGAACCATAGAAATTCCTTCAAAATTCCTTCAAAATGAACCCATTTAGTCCGGTATGATGCTCGAATTCTACCACTCAAAGCCAACTTTCCGGCAATACACAGATGAGCCCCTGCAGCTAGAAGATTTACCCTTTATCACAATATGCAAAGAGAATGGGTACACTGCAATGAAAAGTAAGAAAAGGTTGTGTAATTTGACAAAAAAAAAGGGTTTAGATATTAGCCTAAAAGAAGAGGAGTTCGATGTGGCGTTTCGCGTGATGCGACAAGAATTTTTGACCGTTGACGAATATGAGATTTTGCGGCGACTCGAAAATGAGAGGAGAGTCACTGCGGAGGAGTTGTACACGAGTTTGAGGTTGATTTTCGGGTTTTAAAATAGAAATTTAGATGAAAACGGGTTTTTATCTATTAGAAAGTTAGTCAAACAAAAGCTATTCAAACATTAAGCACTTCATAATTTAGGGTTGTAGCCACTAAAACAGCGCCACTAAAACAGCGCCACTAAAACAGCGCCACTAAAGCAGCGCCACTAAAGCAGCGCCACTAAAACAGCGCCACTAAAACAGCGCCACTAAAACAGCGCCACTAAAACAGCGCCACTAAAATAGCGCCACTAAAACAGTGCCACTAAAACAGTGCCACTAAAACAGCGCCACTAAAACAGCGCCACTAGAATAGCGCCACCAAAACAGCGCCACCAAAACAGCGCCACTAAAACAGCGCCACTAAAATAGCGCCACTAAAATAGCGCCACTAAAATAGCGCCACTCAAACAGCGCCTAAGCTCACAATCCAAAAAACCAAGCTGGTTCAAGTTTTATACCAAAAAACTCTTTGCTTTCTTGGCTACATGATGGGTGAAACAGTTTTTTAAAAAAGTTAATATTTCATAGGCAAAAAGAGCGTTCAAAATTTGTTTCATAGATCAAAAGAGCGTTCAAAATGTGTGTCGAGTGATACTCAATTGGTGAACTGAATATCTTTAGCTGAATAACTGAATATCCCATTTTGAGCACTCGTTTTATCTATTAAATAGGGAGTGGGACAAATGCGACCTTTTTTTTGCGCACCCGGACATTTGCGCACCTTTTTTTTTTGCTGGAAAAAGCCTTAGGCAAGGCCGTAGAGCTTCGAAAATATTTCCATATAAGGGAATCGTATGCGTAGATTCCGAATTTCGACAAATCAGACCTCGCTGACACGTCAAATTTGGGCTAAAAGGCAAAAGCCGCGGAAAAGCGTTAAGTTGCGTAGTTTTGAGCTTGAGGCTTTCAAAGCCTTGAGGCTATTCAAGGCTTTGAATAACAAAGTTCTAAAGACAAAAATAGGATTGGTGTATTTTGTGCTAAATGAATCTTAAAAAGAAATGAAAGCAAAAGAAATGAAATCAAAAGAAATGAAAGAAATGAAAGAAATCAAATCAAAAGGAATGAAAGCAAAAGAAATGAATGGAAATGAAAGAAATGAAATGAGGAAATGTTGAAATCGACTTTCTTTTGTCGGGGCCATTGTTTATCACCCATTTCTTCCATTTCACCCATTTCTTTTACTGAAATTCCACTCTCGCTCTCTGAACTTCCCGTAAACAACTACGAATACAAATACGAAAAAGAGGATTTGGATTTCGTGATTTCGAGACCGGTTATTATTAGGATTTATGGATGATTTGTGAAATTTACAATTATTTGAAGGTAATTGAAGTCTTTGAAGGTAATTGAAGACACAATGAACACTATAAATACCATCTAAAAAGTAAGATCTCAAAGAAAATGGAAAAATAGAAAGTTTCGAAATTAGAGAGTTTCGAAATTAGAGAGTTTCGAAATTCGAGAGTTTCGAAAATTTCGATCTCGTAGAGGATTTTGTGTCATCCTGTAGACAAATCAAAGTATTGAAATCTGAATCCATTAGGTTTATTATGGTTAGGTATAGAATTTTACTAGAATTTTTCGTTGAGATCAAGTGTGTCTTCAGGGTGACACAAAAGCTCGGAGCCACCTTGTTTTTTGGGTCCTCAAATTCAGAATTCAGCTTTTAAGATCAAAAAAAACTATCTAACCTTGAATATTTCGATAAAAGTTTGTAATTATAATAGGTTGATGCATAAGTCTTTTCGTTTTTTTCGTACTTCTGTTAAAAAGTAACAAATTCACGAATTAATCTATAGTTTGCTCTATAAAAAAAGTGTTTTTTTGTTGAATTTGCATCTTTTTAAATGAATTTCGGTTCACTTTCAAGCAAATTCGAGAGTGAAAAACGCCTTTTTCGTAAAAATCTATAAAAAACTCTACGGAAAAATTGGCTGAATGAATTTCTCTGAAATTTTGGCGAAATCAAAACCCCACATGCGACATGGTCACCCCCTTCGGATTTCCTTTCCCTTCGGGTTGAGAGGTTTTCTGGAGGGCAGTCTGGTGGTTGTGGCCCCAGTTCTTTAAAGTGACAAGCCACTCCTTCATCGTCATCTTCCCTTCACCACCAAAAAAGCTATTTAGTTCCCCATTGAGCTTAGGGTTAGGGAGCCGTCTGTCATGACGTGGGTTAAGTTAAGATATAGCCTAGTATTGTGTGTGTCGTTGTATTGTGATTGATATATTTCGTGTATGCGATAAATTCACCACTGGTAGCCCCAGTCGGTATTTTTAAATATCAAACGTTTTTTTTCTCTATCTTTTATCTATTGACACGAAGATAGGTTTTCTTTAGCTAAGGTGTCTAAACCGCATCATCGAGTTAGCCCTTTTTGACTACCCGACTTCATACTCTCAAGAAAATCCAGGCATTAAATATTTTTAAACCCGTTTTAATGTTATTTTGCAGAAAAATAATTGCTTTTTCTAATGAAATCAACCGTAGTTTAATTCGTGCATTTGTTGGCTTGAAACGGCAGACGAAAAGGAACAAAAACACTTATGCATCAACCTAATAGAATAGTGTGTGTCACTTGCACCAATTTAGCACTAATATAATCAATAATAATGGAAATTATTTCAAATGAATTCATGGTTTTATGTTGAACAAATTTTGTTCAACATAAATTTAGTTCAAAGTCCCGCAGTTTCCAATTCACCAACCTAATATAATACCTGTTTATGTTGACTTCAAAGAGTTGCCTCAGCAATTCAAGTCTGACACCGATATTGCCAGCTTTTGCGTTTTTTGAAATGCTGAGCAAGACATTTTCGCCAAAAAATTGCGCAGCACCTTTTTCACCGATTTCAAGCTCTTCTTCGAGTTTGTACCTGCAAAAAGCTTTTGTAGAAAAACTAACATTAACAGTCCAGTGTCAGGCAAAACAAACAAACAAACAAACAAGCAAACAAACAAACAAACAAACAAACAATCAAAATTCAAATTCGGAATTTGTTCTGCTAAAAAGCTACGATTTTGACCTGCTACATTGATTACAGGGTGAAACAAAAGTTCCGTTTTTTCCACCATGTTTTTCGGTCGTCAAATTCAGCTTTTAAGCTAACAAAAACCTATCCAACACTGATAATTCTTATAAAAGTTTGTAATTATAGCAAGTTTATGTTAGATTTAAGGTTTTGCAAGCAAAGATGAAGTCTTTTAATTGGCAATAGATCACCAGAATCAACCCAAATGTTTGGTCGCTTCAATTTCTCTCGAAAACCATCTGAATTTTCTGAAATTTTTATTTAAACGTAGCCAGTCAAAAGGAATTCTATTTTTTAAACTCTTTCTAGACAATTAGCAAAATTTGAGGTTGATTGAAGCTGAAACACAAAACTTATAGCTCTTCTAGGCGAGTCGTAATCGAATTTCAAGTTTTAACTTCAAATTTTAACTTTCAAACTTAAGAAAAATCTGTCTACTCGATGAGAAGATTCGGTTTTTGCGGAAAAACGTTTTCTAGATCGAAATTGCATCTAGATTTATTTTTTGTTGGCACTAAAAGCGAGGTGGCTTCTTTTGTGTCAACTTTTATGTCACCCTGTCCTGTGTCTAATAGAGTTTTGACGCTGCTTTCAAGCATTTAGTGAAACTTTTTCAAAAAAGATCTAATACAAAACGTTAAAGTTAATGTCTCTCGTGTGATAAGGTAAAAGATTCAGTCTGACGTGTAAAGAACTTCTCAAAACGTTGAAAGTGAGCGGAAAGGGGTATGATGCTTGTGAATTTGCGAGCGAAGATCTCACTGAGTATGGAGTCTGTTGGACTGTGGGGAAATGGCCGGCGAGAAGGGCGAATGATCGAGTCGAGATCGTCATCAAGAACACAAAGCCAGCTTGTGGGTTTGAAAGTTTTGCGTAGAGTAGAGTAGAGTAGAGTAGAGTAGAGTAGAGTAGAGTAGAGTAGAGTAGAGTAGAGTAGAGTAGAGTTGAGCAGAGTAGAGTTGAGTAGAGTAGAGTAGAGTTGAGTAGAGTAGAGTAGAGTAGAGTTGAGCAGAGTAGAGTAGAGTAGAGTAGAGTTGAGTAGAGTAGAGTAGAGTAGAGTAGAGTAGAGTAGAGTAGAGTAGAGTAGAGTTGAGTTGAGTAGAGTAGAGTAGAGTTTCACTTACCGTAATTTCCCCTAATACTAGTGCACCTTGGGCTTCGCTTAAATGGCTTGAAATCTCAAGAACCGCTTATGAGAACCTATCGATGTGGGGTCGGAAAAGGTAGCTGACGATAAGATCTAGTGGGGGATTTGAGTGTAAAGTTTCTGTGAAAACTTGAAAACCATAAAATCGTCATTAATTCGGCTCAGCGCGGTGCACTGCTATTAGGGAAAATATGGTATGGATTTTTGAAGATAAACAGCTTTAGCAAACATCATTGTGCATGTTCACAGTCGTTTGGTGCAACCAAGCGTGATGGCTAAAGGACTTTACATACCGAAAGATCGAATCGCACACATGATCGTTCAACCAAATATGGTAAAAGTTTTACAAGGGAAAATCACAAAGGCTGTCAAAAGAAATGAGCTGTCAAAAGAATTAGGCTGTCAAAAGACTTAGGCGGTCAAAAGACATGAACCATATACCATAAGGCGCAGAATTTTACGCTGATTTCGATACTGCTATCCGTTTTGACAAAATCATTGACGCAAAATGGAAAATGAAACGCGAGGAATCTTGCAAACAAGTTTGAGGTTAAAAATTGCTAAATAAAGCTTCTTTCACCTCATGGAAAGGCTTCTTTCTTCATGAAAAGGCTTCTCGAAACGTGAACTTGTGGCTTAGTGGATAAGAGTCTTCTTTCCGAAACAAGCTGTCAATTCTTGTCTCGGGTTCAATCCCTTCCTTTTGTTTTCCTTTTATTTGAATGTTTATTTTGATATTCTCGAATCCACTCTATTTTAACTTTATAATACTTATTATTATATTACAGCACAACAAAGCAACATTATAATTAATTACAAAGCATTACAACAATATTATAACACCTTTCATTTCATTCATTCACTTTATAGATTGCTGTGTTAATTTTTTTTGTTATTTTGTTTGTTATTTTGTTTGTCATTTCGTTTGTTATTTGTTATTTCAATTCAAAAATGTCAAAATACTTATTGTAAAGCTAAAATAGAATGAATTTAAGCTGTTAAACATCAAAATAAAATGAAAACAAAAGGAAGGGTTCGAATCCGAGTAGAAACTTGTTAGCTTGTTTCGGAAACGAGACTCTGCTCCGCTACACCACGAGGCCACGTTTCGAAGCGGTGAAAAAAACCTTATAGGTACAGCAATCTAATCCTGGTTGAATCAATCATCAATCATCAATCAATCCTGGTTTTGAAAACAAGACTCTTATCCACTACACCACAAGTCAACGCTTGTGGTGTCGTGGAAGGGAGGAAGAGGAAAGGAAGGGATCGAACCCGAGACAAGAATTGACAGCTTGTTTCGGAAAGAAGACTCGGGATGGTGAAAGAAGGCTTATATAGAAAAAAGACCTTATCTAGGTCATGAGTAAACCGAGCAAAAGCTGGAAAGCTTGTTTCGGAAACATGACCCTTATCCATTACACCACGAGGCCACATCTCACGACGGTGAAAGAAGCCTTATAGGCACTGGTTAACAACGCAGCAATCTATAAAGTGAATGATTTTTGACCTCTAATTTGACCAGATGCTAGAGTTTGCCAGTTTCCTCCCGTTTTTGAATCATTTTACAAAATCGGATAGCATTTGGCTCCATTACACCACCAGTTCATATTTCGAGGCAGTGAAAGAAGCTTTATCTAGAGATTTTTGACCAAAAACTTGTTTGCAAGATTCCTTGTGATTTGTGACTTTCCCTTGTTAGCAAGCCAGAATCTCGCTGAAATTTTTGTCTTATTATTAACTCTCATCTTTAGGTCGACTCTTTGGAAATCGGTTCCTGGGGCACTTGCAGCAAAGAGTGGAGTTCGAAGATTCATTTGGGGTGAATTGAGTTGATCCGCTTCTTCAAAAGCCAAAAGTTTAAGTGAAAATTATACGCTCACCAATTGTTTTCGTCATTGTATGGCGCAGCAGTTCTTGGAAGCATGTGCATGTGTGCCATATCATTTGAAAGCATTCGGAGAGCCGATTTGTACACTCGGAGAGATGCACACGTGTAGAAGAGCCGGTAAGCGGGGATTGACAGTTCGGCAAAAGTTGTGAAGGATTTCGATGTTTTTGGGAGAATCGCTAGCGCTTCGTCCAGAAGCGCTCAATCAGCTTCGTCCAGAAGCGCTCAATCAGCTTCGTCCAGAAGCGCTCAATCAGCTTCGCCCAGAAGCGCTCAATCAGCTTCGTCCAGAAGCGCCCAATTTACATTCAAAGAAGAAAATCTAGCAAAATCTTCAGGCTACATCATGGCTACAATAGAATTTGTCTAAAATGAAATTCACTCGAAAAAACTCGCATTTTTGGGAGAAGATTTAGGGCAAGCAGAGGTTTTAGATCCTTAGCCGTTATCCAGGAAACTTCTAACCACCGGCAATCGATTCTCCCTGTCGGTTTGCATTGATTGCATGCATCGATTACGTCAGCTAAAACATACATCAGCTAAAAATCCGATTTAAAGCTTATGGAGCGAGCTAATGGGGCTCAAAGTTGGGCCGAAGCGTAAGACGTGTTCTCACAAAAATGCCAATTTTTTTCAAGTGAATTTCTTTTTAGAAAAATTTCATTGTAGCCATAATGTAGCCTGAAGATTTTGCTAAATTTTCTTCTTTGATTGTAAATTGATTGGGAGCTTCTGGACGAAGCGCTAACGATTTTCCCAAAAACATCGAAGTCTTGGCTACAGGAGCGCAAGACTTTTGCATATTGACAAGGATTTTTGTGAAAAGTTTGCCCAGTTTTAGCTAAACCTAATGATTTCCCTAAAGACTTCTATTCTAAAAGCAATTTTTCTAGCTTTAATCTAGCTTTAATCTTTCTTGGTAAAGTTAGTTCTAAAGGTATCCATGATAACTATTGAGTTGGGGAGAATGAAATGACGTCGAACTTTGAAGACACTCTTTGCACGCATAAAGTCTTCTTTAAATCAACGTTTTTTTTTCATCAAAAGGGTCTACTATTTCTCTACAAAATCACTTTTGAGAAATTTCAGAACGCTTTTATTTCGTGGAGTTTATGGACTCTCAAACAGAGCTAGTCAAAATCAAAAGTCAAAAGAGTTCGAATCGTTTGAATCGTTTGAACAGTCATCGTTTGAACAGTTTCTTTCACATAAACCTTCTTTGATGTTCACAGAAACCTTCTTTCTTCTATATCAAAAGATAGAGCACACTCAATTGCATAAATTGTCAGATTTTCAGAAAGATCCCTTCAACCGTTTTCTCTAGATGACAGTTTATGGGTTTTGTGGAAAAAAATGGACTTTTGTTGAGCTGAGGCGCTGTTTGAGTTCTCTTTTAAATGTTATTTTGTAGAGAATTCGTTAACCTTTCTACTGATATCAAACACGTATCATTTGACGAAATCTGCTAGAATTTTTCGAAATTTCTTTGATTTTCGTTGATTCTTCCCAAGCGCATTCTTCCCAATTTTTCGAAATTTCTTTGATTTTCTTTGATTCTTCTCAAGCGCATTCTTCCCAAGCGCATTCTTCCCAAGCGCCTTCTTCCCAAGCGCATTCTTCCCAAGCGCCTTCTTCCCAAGCGCATTCTTCCCAAGCGCCTTCTTCCCAAGCGCATTCTTCCCAAGCGCCTTCTTCCCAAGCGCATTCTTTCCAAGCGCATTCTTCATTCAAGACCCCATTCTTCATTCATAACTCAAACGTTCTAATAATCAATAAGAATAAGCCGACTAACAAACAACACCTTTCTTCCTTATACCTTGTCTTTTCTAGATTCCCATATGAAATCTTTTGAGCCTATTCGCGAGTAAATCTGTACAGCTATAGCTTTGCAGCTAAAAGTTAACGTTAACCTGAGTTAAAAGTCGATTGTGCTAGATTGTGCTAGAGCTGTTCATTCTCTGTCTGATTGTCAAGAGATGTAAAACGGAACAATGAAATTTAACCACTTCAATCGCTACTTTTTCAGGATTTCTTGTTGAATTTCACTTTCAGACTTTTTACAAAATGATTGATGCAAAACTTTCAGGACAACTGTAGTGATTATTTGGTTTAGATATAATCTTTATTACAGCAATAATAGTTGGTTCAGTGGTTTGGGATTGAGAGAGTAGAGACGACTCCACGGCACACTCGGCAGCTCGTTCACATTGCTTTTATACAGAACTTTGGCGTTGGTCTCGTCTTGGACACAATGGAGTTAAACGGACACACAGTGGAGACACAATGGAGTTAAACGGACACACAGTGGAGACACAATGGAGTTAAACGGACACACAGTGGAGACACAATGGAGTTAAACGGATTAAATCTCGCACAATAGGCGTTCGCCCACAAAGATGTCTGGCTGGCCATTTCCATCCGTGGTGATCTCGATCACGAGATCGTCACGACAACAACTTCCAAGCTCTATCTTTTAATCTGAAAAACCGCTGAAAAAATCGCTATTGAAGTGGTCGAATCTCGTTTGTTTCCGTTGTACACCTATTGACAATAAAAACAAAAATGAAAAGCTTTATTGCATAGCAAATGAGGTGTACAACCATATTTTGTACAATTTTTACATTTACTCGATTTTCGGGCTCCCATCTGTGCGATGCAGTTGCAAGCCACAATGTAATCGACCTCGCTACAGTGTGCAGCGACCAACCTACCTCCAAGTGGCACCAAATAAGAGGTAATTTTCAAAATAAAGCATACAAATCACAAACAAATTGTTCTTGATCGTGAAAATAAGAGCTTGATCGTGAAAATAAGAAAATAAGAGCTCGGCTTTCTTTCCAGAAACTCTTCCATTCTCCTCATCGATTTCTCATCCAGCAAGCTTATTCGCATTCAACAACTCAAGCGATTCAAGGCGATTGATTTGCTGAGTTTTTACTGAAACCAGTAACCTGAAACTCTTTATTTACAGGTTACGTAGCTGGGAGTATGGGTTTATTCCTGGGAATGAGCTGTGTGACACTACTTGAGATTTTCATGTTCTTGTTCAAAGTCGCTTGGGGAACTGTCAATGACAATCGACATAAAGAGTTCGTTTCTCTATTTTATTAGCGTAAAGCAGAAGCAGTACTATATATAAAGCAGAAGAGTCTGTCTGTCTGTCTGTGCGCGAACGTGAAGCTCCAAATTCCGGGAGCGGTTGTTGCTTGCGATGAGACGGCGGTTTGGCTGGATGCTTCGACGAGCAAGTGCATCAAAGCGGTTGGAGCCAAAGAAGTTGGTGTTAGAGATCAGAGACGGAAATCGGACAGACACGGAAATCGAAGACCTCTTGGGGCCGCTCGCATCGACGGGATTTCAAGGACATCGAGGAATTGATGATCAAGCAAATGATGAATTCATTGATTTGGATGTTTTAGCGGAATCCGATTTAGCGGAATCCGATCCAAATTTAGCGGTGCCATCGGGGGTTTTCGCCTATGGGGAAGCCGATTTTGATGTTCATTTTCGAAAAGGGACATGGCTTAATCGAGTATACGGTATGGGGCCACGAATTTCTGGGCCGCGAATTTGTTCACGAAGCCCCAGTCTGATAATAAAAGCTGAATTTTAACAAATCAACATTGATAGGTTTTTCGATCGAATGCTAGAAGGAACGGAGAAAAAACGAGAGCCACAACTGAAGCAACAAATCATCATTGCTTCTAGAAAAAACTCGTGAGTGCTAAATCAACTTAGAAATAAAGTTCCAAGCGCAAACTTTGCTCAACTTTGCTTTAAATTTGAATAATCAGTGCTACAGTACCGATCCAAACCATATCCCCCTCGAAAAAGTGATGCTGTTTTAAAGGGTTATAACTTTAAATGTAGACCTCGTATTTATAAGTGCTATATAGCATTTGAAAGCTCACATTGAGCTCTACAAAATGTGCTATCACAATTTGCGGAATACGATAGATAAAGAGCAGAATAACACGCAAAAATGGCTCAAGGCGTATGTCAATTGTCAATGAAGCTCCCTTTTTCGACATCTCCTCCTCATGGGAAACATGTTATAACTTGTCAAAAACAACTTTCTTCGGGTCATTTTTTGTGTTCTTTCCGAAAAACATGGTTTCAGAACGATTTGAAGCATCTCTGGTATTCAAAAATTGCTCTGAAAATCACACAAAATTTTCCTTCTAGATTTCTAAATTTTCAATTAAATTCAAGCCCCTAAAAGTTGGCTAAAACTATCGTATTCCTCAAGGTCTTAGTGTATTTTGTAGAGCTTAATGAGAGCTTTCAAATGCTATATAGCACTTATAAATACGATGCCAACGTCTAGAGTTATAACCCCGCAAACCAGCATCGCTTTTTCGAGGGGATTACCGGTACTGTAGCACCGGTTATTCAAATTCGAAACAAAATGTAGGTTTAAAAGATGAAAACAATTGATTTAGCTATTCAATGACAAACACTCTAGCCACAAATATCAGGTATTTCAGCGATTTTGCTTTGGAGAGATGTAGAATTTGTGTCAAAAATACAAATTTAACGCATTTTTATTGTCAATAAAAAGGAATAAGAAAGCTGGAATAGAGATGATAAAGCTTAACAAGTAGATAAGTACATATCTCTTAATAGAGAAGATAAGTACATATCTCTTAATAGAGAAGATAAGTACATATTTCTTAATAGAGAAGATAAGTACATATTTCACTTCATTTTCATAAAGTCATTTCCCAATTTTAGTGCTGCCTCCGATTCCTCTGAAAGTGATTCCTCGGAATGTACGATTGTTGAAGAAAATATTGGAATCGTTTTCGATGAAAAGAGAAAGTTTGTTTCTGTGAAATTCAAAATTTCAGCTGTAAATCAATTTCAGAGCGTCAATCTTTCGAATGCCGGATTCAGTTATACAGGTAAACCTGAGGGGTTTAGGAAAGCAAT